AAATTCGCAAAAATATTACAATTGCAATATGTCTGTGGCGAAGGAAGGGGCAAATTTCTCTCGTCAGTCTTTACAAAAAAAGAAAATGTAAAAATGAAAAACGTATTTGCATCGAATTTGAAAATTATTCGAATAAATCTCAAGATCTTAAAAAAAAAAAAAAAGAAAGGAGAGAAGACACATTAAATTCGCAAAAATATTACAATTGCAATATGTCTGTGGCGAAGGAAGGGGCAAATTTCTCTCGTCAGTCTTTACAAAAAAAAAAAATGTAAAAATGAAAAACGTATTTGCATCGAATTTGAAAATCATTCGAATAAATCTCAAGATCTTGGAAGGAACGGTCTTTAAAAAAAAAGAAAGGAGAGAAGACACATTAAATTCGCAAAAATATTACAATTGCAACATGTCCGTGGCATTTTCAATGAATTTAACGAAAGTACGTATGAATGGGAAAGACGAGACGCGCGTGCGTCGCGAAGCTACGCGGCGCGATGTGGCGTCGTTGTTTCACAAGAGGAAGTTATTTAGAGCGCGCGATTTTCGCAAGGACTTTGTCGCCTGAAACGATGCAGGTTTCCAAGAAAAACGAAGACCTTCGAACGCCACGGCTATGAAACATCGCTGCTTGCTTTAGCTGAAAATTCTTACGGGGAGTTTGATGTTTGCGTTGCGCCGTTTACACAGGGGGGAGTATATCTCCGCCGGGGTTTGATTTTAAAAGTAAATAAATCCTGGCTGGCTTCGTTACGTCAAACGTGTGTTTCGGCGTAATTTTGAAAAATTCGTGACAAAGAACATTTCCTCAATCGCCGGACATTTAAAAACAATATACACCCTCTATTGTATAAATATCAAACGTAACAACCAGCTGTTATAAATATTAAAACAGTTGATTGGTTGTTATTAGAAATAATCATTAGAATGAATAGGGATAGACTGAATCAAACAATATTGTCACCATCAGAACAAACAATATTAACTGGTCGAAATTTCGTACAAGATTTGTGAATTTAAATTTGCAATTGCTGGTAGAAAATGATGGATCATTAATTGATACTTGCGCGCCGTCCTTCGATTTCAAACCCGGTGGAATGAATTATGTAACTGGAAATTTAAATTTGACTTCTACGATGCGATCGAATAATAAATTACAAAAGATTACAGTGAACATACCTGAAAATCTAATAATACGAATCTCAAAATTGACTAAAATGTTGGACGTCTAATTTTATCATCATTTCAATAATTTTAAGAACTTTCCAATAAAGTAAATTCCTAATGATCTAGCAATACTTCAGTATATAGTAACAAGCAATGAAGTGTTAAAATGCACAAAGAAAACCAAGTGCTAAATTGTTAGAAATTGATCTTATTGGGAAATTGTTCAATTGGATTATCTTCTAGAAAATTACATCGCTATAATTATAATCGTTAATTGTGTTAAAATTAATAATCTAGCAGGCGACATTTGTTTGCAGGTACAAGCGCAAACAAAAATTGAAGGGAATTAATCCTTAAATGGCTCCCTTTAATGATCTCCTAAAAATACGCGTTGCGACGCGAGTTAACAGCGTAAAAGCGATATACCTTCGCGTCAAGTTCACCCTTGGCACCATTTTTGCGAACGAGGAAGGTGGCTGGCTTGTCTGGTTGCACGCCGGATTCCGGAAATTGCGCCACTTCCAGCTTATGAGCATCGCCCATCGCCGGTGATATGTAAACCTTGTGAGGCGAATCGGGAATATGTTGATCGTTGAACTTTATCCCTACCCTGTATTCACCTGGAAATTTCAAAATTTGCAAGTTACTCGACAGTTAATCAATCAAATTTCACGACGTCTTTATTACACTATATTTTGTCATATTACAATTCGAGTTCAATTACGATTGATAACAGTTCATTTCTCTCATACTTTTTTTATTTTTTATTTTTATTTTTTTTTTAGTGATAGTGGTGATAGTTAATTATTTTATAATAATACAGAGACCGAGATCATTTTTATGATCTTCCATCAGGTCACGTAGACTAACCATCGTTCTGACGATTATCGTCATTTCCCGTGAACAATACTTGCGTCGAGACGGTGAAGCTACCCATCGTTTATATTCGCTGATGTCGATCAAAAAAGATTCCGATAAATAAAAGGAGGCGAATTTAAAATGAGGGGGAAAAAGGAATGAAGAAATGAATTTGTAATTACAATAAAAATGAGGAAAGAGAAAAAGGTGGAAAAATTACAAGAAAGAAATTTATCTCAAAAAAGGGGGGGGGGGGGGGGGGAAAAGGAAAAGCGAGATAGCAAAAGTTGGACGACGACGATGAGAGGGAAGAGGAAAAAAAAAGTAGGCGAGAGCATAAACGCGTAAGAAAGAGGATAAAACGAGGAGATTGGAGAACTGAGCGCGGCTAAAATCGCGAGCCACTATTTTCCTCAGGCTGATTCTAACTTCTGATCTCGATTCGTCCACGCTTTCTCTCTTTCAGTTCGCCGTCTTTCTCTCTGCTTCTTCCGCCGTCTCTTTCTCACGTTCGATGCACACCATCCAAATATAACGGCCTCGCTAATTCACGTCCAGCAGCCTTAGCCACCAAAATATGAATCCACCTTAGACGCAAATATAGATCGAAGGTTATTTCTGGATCAGCTGAGAACAACCAATGAACAACACCGGTGGAGAGCCCTTGTTCACCGCTCTCTTTCCCAAAATATGCTCGTTTTTCTCGGTGTTCCATTCATTCCGTTATACATACTATGATTATAGGATGTATCCTTATTTTTCGACGAAGCGTTTCTTCTTTTTTTTTTTTTTTTTTTTATTTTTAATTGGGACTTAACGTTACATTCTCGTGATTTTAAATTTTCGCACGAAAGCATTAGTAAATGGTAAGAAATTTAATCGAATGAATATTGTAAATGGTATAACTTTATATCTTTGTGTTATTAATATTAACTGCTTCGATATTTAGAAAATATAGGTAATTAGGTATGAATAATCGTTACATAATTCAAAGGGTGTAAAAATACATGTTCTAAATTCGAAAGAAGATTATTGCAAGAATCTGTTATTCTTCACTGACTCGCTCTAAATAGTTCCTCTATGTAAAACTCAGTATCTAAAAATTCTTCTTCTAATTTCGTTTAATCAGAGGTTGCAAGTTAAAAATTAATTTCACTACGTATATTGATACATAAGCTGGAGATTTAACACTAGATGTAGGTTTCTTTCTTTACGAATATTTTTGTCAAAATTAATGTTAATTTCTATTAGGACATAATTGTATAAATCTATTTATTTTAATTATTATCATTTAAATAATAATTCCTATTCTAGCGTAAAATCGTCTTTCCAAGACTTTGTTACAAATACAAATACAAATAACAGATTATCACATTATAGTTTTTCCAAGATTTTAATAGATTAATATGAAAAAAATTATTTTAATAGATTAATATGTATGTACGTGTTCAGTCGTAAATTACTGAGATAACTAACACGAACATTTGAGTGTGCTTGTTTTGAACATAATTTAGTAGCATAAACAAATAATATAACATTCAGAGCGATTAACAGAATAAAATATGAATTATCGACGTTGGCAGACATCCATGACTTAAGTATCAGTTAAGTGTTTTATGAACAGTTCTGTCACAATTAGTCTGCAGAGAATGTCAGTTTCCATCACTTAATAATACTGTCAATTTTACACATCCAAATGAAACATTTCATAGATACATTTACTGTCATCAATCTAATTAAAATTGATATATTCTATATTTTCTACGAATATCTCAATATTATATTATTATTATAATAAATAAATAATTATTATAATCATCGTATAACAAACTACATACGATTAAAATTTCCGTGTGTAGTAAAATATAGTATATATATTATATACATTTACTGTCATCAATCTAAATAAAATTGAAATTCTATATTTTCTACGAATATCTCAATAACATATTATTATTATAATAAATAAATGAGTGTTATAATCATCGTATAACAAACTACATACAATTAAAATTTCCGTGTGTAGTAAAATATAGTATATAATATATATACTATACACTATATACTATACTATTATACTATAAGGTATACTATACAAATTCCTATTTTTAAAAAATGAAACACAGACGGAAATATCTACCAGATATTACAATTACTATACTATGCCATACACTTAGCATTTATTCACGCATCCAATGCATTGTTGTGTCCTCAAACTCTCCGCAAACACCCTGGCAAAGGTAATACTGACAATGTTAACAATAAAAACTCACCCGGCTCGGAAACAACGTAGCTAACGTAACAGCTGCCATCCTTTCGATCCTTGAAGTCGATCTGAGCCTTGCTGGGTCCCTCCACGGAAACAGCCAGAGTACCAGCTCCGGCCTCTCTCGTCCAAATGTTAAACTCGCACGGTTCGCCCTGTTCACCTCTCTCCAGACCAGGGCCACCGGCGTGGACCCGGTGCGCGCCACTGTCTCTGAACGGTCCCACGGTAAATTGAAACGGTGATCCAGGGATGTGGATCTCCTTGTAACGAACGGAAACCGTGTGTACGCCGAGCTCCTTCGGCACGAAAGCAACCGCGTACAGGCCGTCCTCAACTTCCTTGACCTCAGCGTCTTCCGTCACGCCTCCCGGCGAAGTGACCGTCGCCGCGAGATCGAACGACGTGATCCCAGGCATCTTGAACGTTATCTTACACTGGCTACCAACCTCGGTGATGGGCACAGCCTCCCTCTGTCTCTGAATCTTCTCCCTCTGGCGATTGCTACCCTCGCCGGTCACTTTTATCGTGAAAGGTGAACCCTCCACGTGATGGTCGGCGAACTTCAAGTTCACTATGTAGTAGCCAGGCTCGGTGGGCTTGTACGAGATGTTCAGTGTCCCGTCCTCGTTGTCCTTGCACTGAATCTCGGCCTTGCTCGGCCCCTCGATCGACAGCGAGAGACCACCAAAGCCAGCGTTCCTCGTGTCGATGGAGAAGTTGTTCTCCACGTGAGTTTTACCCTCGACCAGGCCAGGCCCGGACACCTTCACCTTCTTCGCGTCGCCGACCTCGCGATCTTTCACGTCGATCTTGAACGGCGAGTTAGGGATGTGTTTGCCCATCTTTTTCACCGCCACCGTGTGAGGGCCGGCCTCGCGAGGAGTGAACGACACGCACATGTTGCCGTTTGGTAACGTCTTCAAGAAGCATGGCTCTTCGAGGCCGCTCGGGGCTGTGATCGAGGCGTTTAAGGATCTGATGTCAGAGTCTGTCACTTTGCCCGGCAGTTGGACCTCGCTGGACGAACCGACCGAGATTTGGTTCCTCTTGCGACCCTCGCCTGAAAGAGATTTTATTGCAATGTTAATTCCTTGGTTGTTCTCAATGCTACGAGGGTGGATTGTTCTCTGTTAAAAGAATTCAAGATAGGTAAGAATTGAAATTCGTGCGACGCTGGAGTAACGTTATTGATCACAGGTTACATAAAGCGTTGTCACAAAAATTACATTGGTTATTGACAATCAAGAATCACACGTCGCTTTATAGAAAACTACAATTAAAAATTGTACAATGTCGTAGTAATATTATTGAAAATTATAATAGAAAAGAACGTGTCTTAAAATCTCTGATATCATTGTATCAATGAAAACAAAAGTAACTAAAATTTAGCACATTGCACTACAATATGAATTATAAAAACTATATTTGACCGAGATATTACAATTTATTAAACATAAAAGATCTTTAAATAAACAGACAGTTTTTCAAATGCTTGTTAAAAAGAACATTCAATGTTTAAATAACATTCATCGATTATTTTTTTCAACTCTTATTACTTCTTCTGGTGCTTCGATACATTATGATTCGTGTAGGCAAACATGTACATAAAAAGAAAAATTCGAATTTTTATTCTTCCTTTGCAGTATGTTTCACTCAGGAAAGAATAAATTTAATCAAACTACCTGTGATTTTGGCAACGTAAGGACTGCCGCGAATGTGTTTGCCACCGAATTTCACGCCGATTTTATATTCCCCTGGATCGGTTGGTAAGTAAGAAACTGAAATTGTGCCATCTTTATTATCGTGACAGGAGATCGCTGCTTTGCCCGGCCCTTCGATGGAGAGCGAGAGACCACCAGGTCCTACGTCTTTTGTAGAGATGTTGAAGTTTCCTGGTTCACCGCAGACACCGTATATCAGGCCTGGTCCGTACGCTGTCACGTAGCCACTCGCTAGAGAGTCCACGTGGAATCTGAACGGTGAACCTTTAATTCATAAAACACATATTATTCACCAAAATAATACAAAGCTTCTAACAATAAGTACACGTGACAAAGCAGACAAATCTTATTCTTATGATTTCAACAAATTTCTTTTTATTCCGTAATTATTGCAAATTTCTAAAAAAAAATAAAAAATATCCTGAATTTTTAATTCAACATTCCTGAAGTGTTTAATTTTCCATTCAGACAGAGTAAACATTAATCCTCAAATAAAGTGTGATAAATATCTCTCAAATAGTCTACTTCAAAAGTTGGATTCTCTGTGCATGTTTGATTGTTTATTTAAATTGAAGAGTTTGGAAGTATATTTAAAATTCGTACAAACCTTGGACGTGTTCGCCATTGAATTTCACTGCAAGCTCGTGCTGTCCTTCTTCCCTGGGATCGTACCTAATCGACACTGTGCCGTCTCGATTATCCTCGATCACGGGTTTGTCCAAGTTCCCGCTCGGCATTTTCACTTCAGCTGAAACGTGGTCAAAAAGCAGAGAGTTAAAACACAGATGACCGAGACGAAGAACACGCGCTTATGAACGATAGTTTTGCAAAGTTCTGCAAAGTTTCTGTTATTCAAAATTCAGAAACATATTTTTATAGTCTAACTATGAGTCCAATTGAATTTAATCGAATCTAACTGCGTTATATATATATTTTCTGTAAATTGAATATTGATAAATTACATTCTATCGAGTAAGTAATTGTAAGTAAATTTTCACGTAGTTTCGAACCACCGCTGAATTACATATTATATATAAATATTATATATAATAATATTATAAAAATATTATATTATATATTAAAATATTTTTAATATTATATTATATGTTAAAAATATTAAATATTATATATAATAATATTATAAAAATATTATATTATGTATTAAAAATATGAAATATTATATATTATATTATATCACATATTATATATAAAACACAATACGAATTTTCAAGTAAAGAATTTACTTCTGTCTATATCACCTGAAACGCAATAATCGATAATTATGAAACGTTTGCGAACATTCCGTATGTACGTAGAGCGTGCCTAACAGGAATGGGTAAGCTAAATGATTAGGAATAATTTTCCGGAACACTGAAACCTTTTTTCGTTTGCACGTAGAAAAGACTCTGAAAAATTAACGGAGGAAAATCGAGTCCCACTGGCGTTGCTTCTTTTCCCGGATCGATCCTGGTGTAACAGACCGGTCCACGTTCAGGGCAATCGTACTGACTGCACGAAATAGTCTTCAATCCGTATCGGTAGAAGGTCGACACCTCCTGCCACGTGGTTTCGACCTCCTCTTCCTCCCAAACCATATCCAAAGGTTCGATTCGGTCGACTCACTGATACGAATAACATTACACGATCGTTGACAATACGTCTTCCAACGATTGCAATCGTACGTGCGTCAATTATTGTACACTATTGAAGTGAATGATAATTAGATACGTGGAATATGAAAAAAATTCGAATCTTTTTTCTCTTTTACTGAACTAGTTATTTAGTAACTGAATGATGATCCTCGAATAAAGAAAATTTATACGTTGAACGTGACACTGTATTTCTTGTCGATTATTTCAGCGTACACAAGTGGTTAATATTCGGTCAGAAGATGTTAACAATTGCTCGTGAAAGTATTTAAAAGAATTATGTTTCATTGCACCATTCTTGAAATTTTATTAACGACACACGAACGTCATGGCGGTATCAGTCAAGTTTGAAGCAAATCGGAAATTCCGTCATGTGCTAAAAAATTCGAACAGTCAATTATCAGCTATGTTTTCAACTAATTTTTTACTAAATATAAATAAGTTTTACTTTCGCATATAAATAAATTATAAAAACTTTAAAATAAACATTTCGCTACTTCTTTACATATAATCGAACAATACATATAATAAATTATGTAATACATAAAGTATAATGTTGCAAAAGCTGCTCTATGATAAGCGTTCGGATACTTTCACGAGCCACCTCATAATCTGCTTTTATTGTTTAAAAAAAAAAATCTACCGATCTTTCGATAAATCACTTGAGATGAGTCTCAAAGCGCTAAATTATTTGATACCGATCGAATCGAATCGAGTGAGGTACAACAAACACGTAAAATCCATCCATATTCTCTGCTTCGCTATTATTCCATTTCACTTGAATGAAAAGAAAAAAGAAAAAAGAAAAGACACGAGAGTCAGAATATCAAACGAAGGACAGAGAGAAGAAAAGAAGACTGTAAGAAAGAAGAAGACACTGTCGAAGCACGAACTGACATCTAATTCTGTTTCTGCGCGATTTGAACTTGACACGATCGTAGGAAAAAAAAAAAGAAAACCGATTCCCTCTCTGCACGGATTCAACTCGATCAAATTTTGAAAGAAATGTACACTTGACTCTAATTCTTCGTACGCGAGGCTCTTCCGTATCGGATGAAAGCGATTTCAAAGCAAATTAGTTTAAAAAAAAAAAAAAAGTAACAGAGAAATGAAGCAAAAAATTTATCAATTAACAATTCCTGTACAATTTTCTTCGCGTTGTTATTATTATACCGATCTTCTGCGTATTACGTTCTTTCCAAACACTTGTCCGTCCGATACGAAGAACAAATTACGAATAAACAATCAATGAAATTGCGAAAGAGAAGGAGGAAGATTTTCGTTCTACTCCGAAAGATAGCAACGTAGAGAAAAGGGAATAACTGAGAAAGTACGATCCTCCTTTTCTTCTCTTTCTTTCTTTCTTTCTTGCTTTCAACAGTGAGCATAATCGAAGATAAAGCAGATTGATGAAAGTCGTGGCAGGAGAAGGACCGACCGAACGAGTTACACCGTAAGAAATCCTCTGGATTTCGTCTCCCCTTTAGAATTCGTCGGCAGCGGCGAGCGTTGCTTCCAACACGTTACGAAAACGTTATCACGACAACCGCTTCCAGCTGGATCACGACGTTTAATCGACTTCTCGAGGGCACATCTCTGGCGCGACTGACGACGAAGCGGGCATCGCTACGCGCGAAGCAAACGATGCCAGCCCGGGAGACCTTCCTTTTTTTTCCAGAACACCTACCGCCGGACTTTATATCGCGAGGCGGCGGTCGCCTCGTCTCTAATAAATCTTTAACCTCTCTGTCCGACCGCTGCATTCGGTCGGCCGTCTTATAATTACGCGCGCCGTTGTAACACGCAACGACCACAGTGATTTTTGTGCAAACTTGCGACATTTTTAAGGATCGTCGACAATTTGGAGCGACGTGACTGAAGTGAAAAGAAAAAATCCGCTCGGTTTCGTTTTGGAAGCCTCTGAGTTTTGTGAATGTTTGTTCCTTCCGAGGGTGATTTTGTGTCGCGGAATGCGTAGAAAATTCGCGGAAATATATATTGAGGAATTCTTTTTACACGCCTAACTAGATCGTTTCGAAGGTTCAAGTCTTCTCCACTTTGCAACGGCCTCTCAAAATTCGCTTCTTTTTTTTAGAGTTTCATTAAACTTGGAACATTAAGATAGACGAAATGTTGGGATTTCTTGAATTTTTAACAGTCGTCGTTTAACAGTCAGATTAGATGAAATGGTGGTGGAAAAATCAAGTTTATCAAGTCAATCGTTGTAAAGAGGAAATTTTAAACTATGTTTTTCTCCTGTGGATCCTCCAACAATTTCGATCGATTCCATGATATATATTATTAATTGCACTCACTTTATTATATCGTATCGCATGTGATAATATGTTTCATTTTATAATTATCACTTCTGTTTATAATTAGTTATAAATAGACTGATTTTTTAATTGATTTTCAAGTAACACGAGAAATTACATAAAATGATTCAAGATGAAAGCAAGTATCATTTGATAATATTTGATAGATAAAACAATTATCTACCAAGCTTTTATTTTTCTTTTTTAATCATGAATTTTCATAAAAAATTCGCAGTTTAATTGCAAATTTAATAACCGCAACAATCGTACGAGATCGTCAAGCTGCAACCTGGGCAATAAAATTCTTTTAACCTTGGTTTTAGATAAAATCGCTAATTAATCTTCGCGAAATTTAAACATTTTACCACATTGTTAATATTGCCGCGGAACTAACGAAACTTGCCAAGACATGTGTAACAGTAATTAGTCAGCCGTGTTTAACTTAATAAATGTTTGACCGTGTAAGATCGAATAGACGTATAAATAAAGATAGTTCGCACAGGCTCAGGCTCAACCACCAATTGATGTTAGACATTACAAGTTGCTTGTAGCATGAGAGACGTGATTGGTTTTTGGCAATATGAGCCCCAATAAATTCAAACTTAATGAGACGTAGAGGAGAATCTGGGAATAGAATCGTATTTTTAGATCGAACGGACATTTATCAGTTTCTGATACGTTTTTTATATCTATGTAGCCTCGTCCATTGTATTTTTGATTTTACATTCAGAACTGGGGACAATACGAATTTTCTACAAAAAAAAAATTAAACAATTTTCAATTACCTAGAAATAGTGTTTGAGTACGATACTTTGAGTACTTTGAGCTACTTCTACTGCGAAATTTGCTCGCAAAGTTCGTGCTGAACGGCAACAATTAACAAACTTGTTAAAAAGGAAGATCTTTAGATTACTATGTACGAATTTTTGATAAAATGATATATAATATGATAATCTATAGCAGTATAATTAGTTACACTATTGTACTGTTGATTATATCATCACAATAATCTACATTTTTATTCTAATATAGATTATTTTATATACTGTATTACAGATTCATATTTCATACTTTTTTACTATGTTGTTATATTTTTTATTACATTTATACGCATACACGATATTTAACTTTACTTTCTCTGTCTTCCACTTTGTCAGTCAATTTTTTACCGCCTACAAACTTCGTCGAAAAATCGAATCTTTCGTTTCGTTTCGTTAAAAAAATCTTAAAATTCCACGATCGAATAAATAAATAAATAAATGACAGAGACGTGTGTTAGACGAAAATTTGCTAAAATTCTTCCAACCGTATTTCCACGAACGCGTGTCTGTAGCTGTTCGAAGTTTATGTATTATCCGTTCGATCCCATATATATATATATTTTTATATATATCATATCTTTTATATATTATATATATCACTTTAATTTAAACGTTCGACACGCCTCGCCTGTCTCGATATTTCTACATTCTCGCCAACGAAAAGACGAGTGATTTACGCAGCCGGTTACATAATTCTTTATTATGCGCAAGGAATTTCGGAATTCTTAAGATAGAAAAAAAGAGAGAGAGAGAGAGAGAGAAGAATTTGGCGCGCAGCATCCTGTACCTCACCTCCCATTGGCCACCGGTTCTCCACTTTGCGCAGGAAACGATGCTCGAGCTTGGGAGAGCACGTCGTTTCGTGCCAAGGGTAAGACTAGACTAACGCGAAGAAATCGGGGGGGGGGGGGGGGGGAGGAGGAGGCATTATGATTAATTGCAAACAACCGTGATACGACGAATTTACGCGACGTTGCGTTATTCAACCGGTGTTAAGTCGTTGAGAATGTAAGGGGAACGATATCGACACGCGAGGAAGTGCTGAACGATTATTCGTTGCCGGGAGCTTAATGTGCTCGCGATTAACAACGTCAACGCTGCCATTTGCTACGTGCAAATCGCTAGAACCACTCGAGGGGAACATTGCCGTGGAAGAAGCTTCTTGTGCGTGCCATGATATTTTATTTTAAAATTGATTCGTACGCTCGAGAGTGTGACAAATCGATGACAGACAAAAATTCCTACCGAAATTCCACTCCGAGGGATTTGTATTTAAAGATCTCGGGGGACCGGTAACACGGTATTTGAATTTAGATTAACGATCAATCTAATTGTGAAAGCGCAGAATTAATTTCTATGTTTGATGTGTGTGTGTGTGTTATATAAAACATTTGGAAATTGCAGAGATCATTATGCACGTGAAATATGACATTTATACTTCGTGTGAAATCGTATGAAATTTATGCGCTGGAAAATAGAACATTAGTTTTTCGTTTTGTTTTCTATATCTATGGTTTCGATCAAAAGTTTATTGCAAAGGTTCGGAACAAATTAGTAGACAGTATGAACAGCCATCATGTAATAAATGTTAGATATCCTACGTGAAAACTGATATAATATAAATATGATAAATATTTTTGTAACCTCTGAAAAATATGTACGGCGACAAACGAAAGAAATTTTCAACACTTTAAATTAAATGGTATAAAAGTACACACTATATTTTTAGACAAACAACAAACCAATAAAGAATGTGATTCTTATTGTAAATTATTTGCTTGTATAAAACAATAATTCGTAATTTTCTATATATATGTTTTTACTTGTTTCAAACTTGACCAATACAATCACAATAATTCAACTGGAGCATGATATGTTAAAATACACATGTTAAAAAGAAAAAGTTCAAATATTTTCATAATCCTAGCACACTTTGCTATAAACTAGCGTATGTTCCAAAAGGAACTACACACTAAGAGGAAACTAAATACTATTTCAAACTAAAGTTTGATCCTCAAATTATCTCGAAGCTTGAACAAAAAAATAACCTTCTCAAAATTATTTGCGATAAAACTTTTCTACATAAAAATCATATTTTTATCCCCATAATCGATTCTAATCGTTATTGAAGCGAGAATAGAGAAGGAGGAGGTTTCCTTTTCGAGTCTCCGAGATTTCCATCGTCCTAGTTCGAGATTTTGAAACCGCTTGGGCTTCGATTTTTGGGCCAATGACGAATCCGCACATCCGGAGCCACTTAATCATCCAGTATTAATATCACCGCCTCGCTTCCGACACAACCGTCGACATACATTTTTCTCTCTCTGTTTCTCCCTCCTCCTCCTCCTCCTCCTCCACCTTCTTCTTCTTCTTCGTCTTCTTCTTCTTTCACGTCTCCTATCTTCTCTAGTCTAACTGTGTTTCGAACATGCAAGTGCAGAACTGAAGAACAAGTGGTGGTAGGACTTATGTTTATTTCACTCATCCTGTCTAGCTGTCAATGTTGCAACTTCGCATACGTATGTATGTGCACATATGTTACGGGCTTACTACGTACGAGCCACGTTACAAGCTGTTTTCTACTTGAATTTGATACAATTAATTGTAAGTCTGTCCGGTTGAAAATTTCGCGATATTAAAAGTTTCTTTTTTTTTTTATTTTAAGAGAAATGATTGCATTTTTGTAGTCTCATTGTTAGCGTGTATGAAAAGAATCTATCGAGTATGAGAAAGTTGAATTTATTATTGAATTGATTCTTTGAAATTGGTTTGAATTGAGCAGAATAGTAGTCAAATTTATTAAAACTGAGTATTAGTATCTTATTGTTGTTTGACTTTAGCATTTTATTATTTCATTCGGTATTTTAATATTAATGATAGATAATAAGTGAAAATTCATTTCTAAATGAGGAAATAAATTGGTTAGAATTAAGTGAACTGTTAGGTAGTTAAATTTACTTTGTTCCAAAATTAAAACTGGCTGTTAATATTTCATTTCAACTAGACTTTAATATTTCATTACTTCACCTTGTATTTTATTATTAATAAAATAGCAAATGAAAATTGGTTTCTGAATACATCATTAAATTATTATTTTTTAATATTTAATATTTAATATCATTCGACTATTAAAATTTTTATAAAAACTGTTCTTTCTGATAGATTAAGCTTTATTCCTTCTCAATGTTAGATTAATGTACGTTCTTTGCAAAAACTTCGAAATACACTTATGTAGAAACATATAAAATTCTCTATAGTCGAGAATATTGCCAACAAACCTAAATACCATCGTTTAAAATCATACTTGTTAGTGGATCATATTAGTTGCGCGAGATACGACTGAAAATATATTATTACTTTAGAAACCTATCAAAACCAAAATATGTCATCCTTGAAAAAAATAAGATAAAATTTCAACAATCAAAGTGTAATTACATTCGAATTTGTCAATGAGGATCAAACGAATATGAGAGAATTTCGTTGACACGAAAATGATATAAATTTTCTTTTCAATTTTATAAAAAATACATCTGCGAAAAATTAACTTCACCATATTTCGAATTCAAAATTGAGAGAGAAAATTATCGGATAATTCTCATAAATACATAAAAATCATTACAGATAAAAGGCCAAAAAGGCATTGCGGTGCGAGTCCAAATTTTTGCACTTCGAATTAACAAATAATAATATTTCCCAAGTGTCGAAGGTTATCTATAAGTATATTTATAGTTTCATGGCCAAGTATTGTTGCAACTTCGTTTATTACTGCTTTGTTTTAACACTTAACTGAGAGAAAGCAATAACAGTAAACCCAAAATATAATCTTTACGAGTGATCTTGCATCTTACAGGCCTTGTGTGATGAAATAATAATGACTTTTCGTATAAATAAACTTGCTGCGAACGTTGTATCTTTCGAATCATATCGAGTCGTGTCTTTAGATAAAAAAAAAAAAAAAAAAAAAAAAAAAAAAAAGAAATTTGACAGACGCGTTGAGATCGTTATGTTAATTCGTAGAATTGTCAAGAATTGTTACTCACATGTTACGGTGCCGTCCAATAATGGTAAAAGGATGTTGTTCAATCGGACTTCGTTGAAATTCTTCTTCGTGGATACACTGGAACTTTCCTGAACGGTTGAGCTGTGCTGCTCTACGATGTGTTGCTCCTGTTTCTGTCTGGTTTTCTTAGCTCTGTGAGTTTTATGGGTGCTGTGCTCTCGATACTCCTCTGACGCCTGAAACATTGTTTTTTTTTTTTAAACACCTTGTAACGTTCGAGTTAGTATACAATTTTAGAACAACTTGTTCCAAAGCAACAATATACGAACAAATTTACATAGTTGTCCGATAATTATCTGCGGTGACTCGCGAAAGTATTCGAACATTTATTATTATACGAATAATTACATAATAAACGTATTTTATATTTTTTTATCATAAAAATTTATTTATTACAAAGGGATATTGCGTATACTATTGGGAACATTTCGAAATTTTATTAACACTGTAATGAGACACGATTTTCATGATTTTACTGGTAAAATTTAATATAGGAATTATTATTATTATATATTGATAATATATTTTTATAAAAAGATTAATGTGATTTCATTAAATATAAAGACCTATGGATAATTAATCGTTTAAATACTTTTGCGACATCTATAAAACATGGACATTAAACTACTGTATTAAACTAATTTGTATTACTTCATTACACCTGTAATTTATTTTACTGTATCAAACTAGATTAATTAATTTATTTCTAATACTATTAAATATCTGGTAATTTCTATACATACTTTCACACTTCTAAAATTTGATCACAATTTTGTCTCATTGCAACGTTAGTGAAATTTCTTATAAATGTTTCCGTGTGACCGTACACGGATCATAAAATTCACGTCTCCTTTTGCTTCTTGGGAAATGAAGAGATATAAATATGGTTTGATAAATCAACGTGAATGATGGAATTACACGGGGAAATTTCTGAAATGAGGCGATGGTGAACGGCTCATTACGATAGAATCTACGTATTTCGAGGCTGGTACCAAGCCAAACTGTTCTACGTGTAAACAATTTATTACGTAACCGTAACAAGATTATTGCAAAACATGTGTCACGTGAACAATTCATTAGAAAATCTTATAAACAAATCTGTTCAATTACTTTTTCGCAAAGTTTTCTGGCCTGTACATATTGCATAAACGGCAGTCGAGAAAGTATTAGAGTTTGTTCAAAATGCAATATCCTATTTTTTTTTCTTTTATTTTATACTTATACAGTTATATGTTATACTTTCGTTTTGTAATTTATCTTCCTTAAATTATTAAAACTAAACGTTTTAATAATTTAAGGAAAATTAAATGTTAAATATAAATTTACATATTTTTTCATCTTACTCGTTAAAAATAATTTCATCTTTCGTTAAATTGACATAATGATGATGGAATTAATAAATTTGCAAATTCTTGGAAGTTGGAAACAAATAAACATCAATTCTACAGTATTTATTGTAACATCAGAGAATTTTAACAAAAATATTTTATTTGTCACAAGCTTTGTCGAAATAACTTTAGAATTTAGCACTCTTTTTATTCCTGCATGTATTGTGCTACACGTTCAAACAATAAAATCATTTCAAATATAATTGTAGCTGAAGGAGACAGATGATTTAAGATCGATTGAAAGTTCACAATCAAGTTCAAATGACAATTTTATAAAGTCGGAAAGACCAATGAACAGCTCGGAAGTCTTTTACAAAATATAATATTGATTTGTGTTATGTGAAATACGATTTCCAATTTTAGAACAAACACAGTACTTATCTCAAGACTTTCATTATCAGACTGGCGATAAAAAAAAAAAAAGTTCACTATTAAAGTTACTACCATTATCAATTTTCGATCTTTTTTTATTCGAATCGTGTGCTCCAAAAATAGCGGAGGTTCCTCACCATACTGCGCACAGTATCAAAATCCTCACATTTGACACTGTCACGATTCAACAGTTAACTAGAAAATTAAATCTTTTTCTTTTTTTAAATCAAATTCATTTCATTCCAACCACCTTGAATCATCTGGAGAAACAACTAACGTACACAAATACGAATTTTCAAATACCAACATTCTCTTCACCTTAAATTTCAAGAGAAACGTTTTATTCGAATTGCGCTGCAAAAATGACGAGGATCCCTTAAAATCGAATATTATAATATTACACCGCGTACAGTGTCTTCAAACAAATCTTCACATTTTTGACACTGTCACGATGTACATACGGTATATACACCGTAGGAAATCAAATTTCCCGCCCAACGAAATTCTTTTTTATCCCAGCCACTCGGAATCATGGTGCGTACCTTAAGTCGCGCACTAAAACGTGCTTAGCGGTGACATAAAACCAAGGCAGGAACCAGCCAGCACGGTGGTCGTCACGGAACTCGTGCTAACTGACGATAATTTCGGGCACAATGCTGTATTCGATGCTACCATAATAGCTAGCCAGCCCCCACTCGACCACGTCGTAAAAGGGTAAACGACAAACGATATTAATCGCGCGAAATTACACGGCGATACACCCGGGTCGAAGAAACTGTACACCTCTGTCCAGTTGCTGAACAGTTCTGAAATCAACTGTCTGGCTCGTCCGGGCTGCGTTCTCCAAAATGGAAGGGTCAGTTTCCGGTATTTCTGTAATTATGGCGGAACTTGATATTTTCAGCGTATTCCGCAACATTTCGGTGATCGCACTTGATTTCTCACTTGTTCTATGTCGCGTTTTAAAACGAGATTTATATATATATATATATATATATATATATATATATATTTATATATATATATTTTTTTTTCAGAATACGTAACAATTCTGTAATTTCTCACAGTATTTTTCTGTAATACGCTTTTACAATTTCTCGTAGTTCCGTAACGTCTAGTGTAGTATTTCTGTAAATTAGCATTACTATAATTCTGTATGATGTAATTTTACAGCGTTTTATTTAGAAACGTCTACTTTTCCGAATGTTTCCGCGATTGTTACTTTCGTATTTCTCACTTGTCGTATGTTTCATTTAATACGTCCGCTCGGGTTTCGGAATTTTCACTCGGAGACGAAGTGTAAGAGTGCAAACATGATGTAATTGCCAATTTTCTGAACGATCATAACTGTGATTCATTGATTGAATTAATCACGATCGCGTGGAGGTTCGCGAGTGAGAAGCAAAGTGACGTTGAATACGCAAGAAGCTGAACGTGCAAGTGATGTTAAATATATATAATTTTGGAGAAAGAAGCATTTTAAATATAAAGAATTAAATTACACAATTTAAACTGAAGAAAACCTATGAATATCTTAACGTAAACCTCTCTTTTTTTTTTTCTTTCTTAAATTACCAGACTTCGTACTTTCAATAATAATAATTATTATACTATTATATAATATTATAATATAATATAATATAATATAATATAATATAATATAATACAATATAATATAATATTATAATATAATATATATTATTATAATAATTATAATACTAATTCAAAATGAAAAAGAAACGGCGCTCAAATCGAAGAAAGAGGAAAATCTCCTTTGAAGTATAAAATATTTCTGCGACAGTACATCTCTTCGGTGCACTTTCTCCTTTCTCCTTTTCGAATCATCAGACTTTTACGCGAACTGAACTCTAGCTCCCGTTTCCACTATAGCGTTCAGAAAGTTATGCAGCGAACAAATAGAGACACTTAATCTCTAAACCTCCCGTATTAATCTAATTCTCGATCCCCTCCCTCTTCCACCTACTATCCGGAACGTTTCTGTTTATAAATTTGGGAAAGCCTGACTTGCACTCGAAATAGTCGAAGAGACCTCCACGGTGGACCAGATGCGTATTGAATTTCAAAGTAGATCAACAACAGATTCGCATAAAATTCTCAAATAGATTCTACTGTTGTATCATACATTCTCCGCGTTCCCTCGAACATCGACAATCTCTTTCTACTTCTGATCGTTGTCGATCATTCTGTCATCGCTATCGCGAACAGATCGTAATTTCACGCTTGTCAATTCCGCGAATAAATATAATAAGTTATCTGCAATAATATTCCACGCTGCTTTATTCGTTTCGGTAAAACGTATTCGTTTGAATTTGCATAAATTCGGGGAAACTTCGTTTAAATTATCGAGGCTGGTGAGTTTAACTAACCTGAATTTATTAAGTAGTTTAAATTTAGATACTTTTCGTCGCGTTATTGTCTCTCAACAAATTTTTTGTCTCTTGAATATCGTTTTCGTTCTTTGTTACTATTTCTGCTCCAAAGTGTAAATATTATTTGTTTCATATAAATTGTTGAATAATTCAACTAAATACTCTCTGTTACACCTCTGATGATCTATTATGTTCAGAACTGTATCATTTTTATTCATTATTACTACTTTTTTTGTTCTAGACTTTTGCTCCAAAGTATAAATGTTATTTGTTACAAATAATATAAATTATTATTATATAAATATTATATATAAATATAAATTATTATATATATTTATATAAATATAAATTAATATATATAATTATTATTATATAAATATTATTATTATATAAATTATTATTATATATTATTAATATAAATGTTATTTGTTATGAATAATATAAATTATTGAATAATTTAACTGAATCTAAATGCTCTCTGTTACACCTCTAATGATTTATTATATTCTGAACTGTATCATTTTTATTCATTATTACTACTCTTTTGTTCTAGACTTTTGCCCCAAAGTATAAATGTTATTTGTTACAAATAATATTGTTTCATATAAATTGTTGAATAATTTAACTGAATCTAAATACTCTCTGTTACACCTCTAATGATTTATTATGTTCTGAATTGTATCATTTTTATTCGTTATTACTACTTTTTTTGTTTCAGATAGGTGAACAAAGTTAATTAACTGGAACTATTGTTTCTTGCAGAATGAACGCATATAGAACGGAAGTAGTATTTATAAATACCATCAAAGTTATAAGCGTATGTAGTTCAGGGCAGCATCATCATAAAGCACGAAGTGATATATTCAATAAAGAGGGAAACAAGATAGTGGTGCATTCAAGAAAGGAGGAAAAGAGGAAAGGAGTTAATTGTTCAAAATATTAAATGAATAAATATTTGACATTTGTGAACAAAGGTTCAATCACTTTTCTACTCAATTATTTATTAATCCTGATGTATTTCATTTCATTGGCTACCTTTGACAATTATGAAAATTATCAGATAAAAGTCGCAAAACGAATTGAATTTAAATGTCAGTTGATTATCGCCGACGTAATTAAAACTGAAATTACTCTCCGTGCACTTTGAATATTTCACAAGCAAAATATCTAAATCCAATCACGCACTCTATCATTTACCTCGAGTAAATGTTCGAAAGGGAAGCTATTTTTTTTTTCCTTTCGATTTAAGCGAAACAGAAAAGTAAACAAATAGATTCGCGATCGCGGGTTTAATGGGATACACGAGTGAAGACTCATATATCAGAAATCTGGAACGAAGACAACTGTTCCCTAACGCTTCACAGAGATTCGAAATAATTAGCGAATTTGCCTGACCAACGGAGCAGCACATTCTGACAAACATCCAAAAGTTTACACGAATACGTTTCTAAGTCTCGTTGTAGTCGTTTCGACGCGCAAAGTGCCAGAAAACAATTTCGAGAAAAGCAGGCTACAATCGATGGAAACATTAGCTGCTCTAATTTTTTCAAATATGAACTACACTGCTCTTAATTGAAATGACAATTATTTTCGTTTCCTATCGTTCTGATTACGCTTCCCTTTATTTCTAAGATAGCAATTACCTTTATCTTACATTACTTCAATTGTATTTTGATTTTTTTTTTTTAATTTAAGAAAGAAAGAAAAATACGATCGATCGAACAACGACGTTTTATTAATTTAGCTAGGAGAACTTTTCATTTAATTGAACCTTATTATTATCAGCCTCTAACTGTTATTCGTGAATTGCTTCGAACTTTCAGTAATTTGGGATACAAAATCAATTACTATTTAAGGGATAAGAACTATCAATTTTTGATTTATTATATTCGTCTATTGACGACGATCCGAAATATTCAGGGACTAACGATTAATTGCGACTTCTCACATTATTCGCAGATTTTTAACAGATGTCTGACTGCTGTTGGCAAACAGTAAATATCAAGAGACGATTAAAGAATGCAGACATTGAGGCTCGCAGTTGTTTACGTGAATTTCAAACAAAAGTCGAAGGTCTGCGCGAAAGCACAATACCTCTTTTGCGTAGCTTCTCACCGAAATAATGAACGCTTGCTTAAATCATTTTCCCCAGCAGCAGGCATCGTTGTGTTAGAATAATTACAACGCCTGTATAATTAGATCGAAGAAACGCTCTCAGTCGAAATTTAACTTCACAAATGCGAGAATGAAAGTTCCTTCCATAGAAGAGAAACAAGGAAACTAAGAGAGTGCAAAATAAGATGACGTATTAAACGTTCGGTCATCGTTTTATTAATTGCAAATAACTTTTAAAAGAATTTTGAAAATAATCTGAAAATTTCGTTCTATTCTCGAACGTATATTTTTAGTAATAAAGTTCTTCTGGGAAACTTCTGTGAAATTCTATTATTAACAAGTGAATGATGTATCGAAGAGAAAGAAAGAAAGAGAACATCTATTCTCTTGAATGCTCTACACGAGTTTATAATAATTCTCTCTAGTTTATTTCTGACGATTCCCGAAGGTGAATATTTTGTAGAAATATTTATACACAGAAAATCTTACAAAAACACGTTTATTTCGATGTATCCGACGAGTGATCGGTCTATTTTATTCTGCACAGGAATTTTTCTCTTGTTCCTGTCTATTTCAGATATATTTATTGCAAATTCACGGTGCGTTTTGAATTTTCTAAAAATTACGTACAATAATTTAACAAGCATGTTTCACTTATAACTATCTATAAAATACTAACTAATTCCCTATTATTATTAAGTTAATATAAAATTTAAAATATGTCAAGAAATAATTACCAAACACATAAGACGAATTTACAGAATTTTCCCCTAAATTAATATCCTAATCATTTCTTCGTCAAAAAAGAAAAAAAATATTCTATAAGAGCAGCTACGAAAACGTAAATAATTCCAAAATAATTATCAAACCAATAAAATGAACGCACAAAATTTCCCCTTTATAAGTGATATTTACATAACTGTATCAATCACTACAACATCTCTTCGTTCGCGAGGAACATGATTTTCAAGTACTCCCTAGATCAGCTGTCAACAGGTGTCAGTGCCAAAAGAGAAACCGAGCGTCTGCCTATATATCGACAAGTACTACTTATGAAATATTCGATTAAACTCGCTTCTGTCACGAGTAGACAGTACAGATACTCGGTAATGCACTTGAACGTTCGAAACTCCACGTGACGTGAGATTAGGGATAATGTCAAATTGACAGACGCTATTCCAATGAACCGCCGAAGTGAACTGTTTCACTGGAGAATAAACTAAAGGCTACAATATGTCCTGCAGTATATCTTGTCTCTATAGTTAGATGCCTGCCGCCCCACCCATTCTTTACCACGCATCTCTTTCGTGAAAAAAAAAAAAAATTCATCATACCGTGCACAATGCGCACGACAACGTTGCACAATTGTTCCGACGAACAGGTATCACCCTTTTGGCATAGAATTGACGGCGAATCTTTTTGAGAAGTAGGCCAAATTTTGTTCATTATTTATTTTAGTACTAGCTCGTGGGTCACTAAGTCAGTGGCGTCACTTGGAAAGGGGGAGGGGAAGATGATTAAAAATTACTTCTTTCGGTTCTCACTTCAATCCTCTAAAAAGTTTACGTTTCTTTTTTGTTTTACAACTTTTACTTTTGCAAGTGAAGAGCAAAAAAATAAATGTCGACGTGAAAAAATTGATATAAAAGGGGTGACATCATGCCCAGTCACCCCTGCACTGTACATTAGATATATATACTTTATTTCTTAATATTTTTTTATTGTCTGTTCTCTCTTTTATTATATAAAAAATTAGCAAAACTACCCATTCTGAGAATGGGATCTAGTGTGTTTTTTAGTGTTTATTACATCCGTAAAATTTCTTGGACACAAGTAACTCATATAACATTTAAGACTTGAAATACCTATATGTATACATAACCAAGTCGTAAAGTCCTCCATAAAACACAATTATGCATTTATTTCTCACTTTTAAGCTCTAACCGAACACATGTAATTTTCTTAACATTTTTTGAAAAGAGGGATTCGAAAAATAATTAAAATTCTTTTATATATATGATGATAAGTTTATAAAGATCAACGCGTGGGTCATTTAGGTTCGCCATCATTGGCATAAGTCTTCCTCCTTGTCCAATTAGTCACTGGTTATACTTTATATAAGTACGTGTTAATAAGATAAGAAATATGTGAGACGCGCGTTGGCTTGGAAATTTAAATAGAGGTGGAAAGTGTCGCTTTTGTGATCTATGATTAATAAATTTTACTTGAAATACTCTTTGAAGGATGATAGGGTAAGGTTTGATTAATTTTGCTTGACAAATTAGCGTAGAGTAAGAATGCAATATTTTTGCAACAGGTTGCAATTACAGTGGCTATTCTATTTATTAATTAATCATCAAAGTGTCGATTGAGCTCAAGTAAATTTCGTATTATTTAATATATTGTATGACAATTAAAATAAATTATATCATACATGTTATAACACGTTTACATTTCATATCATTTAGTAGCACTTTCACAAAACTATTATGAAAATGATACTATAATCAAATTTTATATATATATTAAAAGCCACTGCAGATTTGTTTATTTATACGTAATCGTCTCGAATCGTTTTGAAACTTCGGCATACTTTCACCATTTAAATCCATCTGGCGAAGCGATAAAGCAAAGCTATACTAGACACGAGGTAAATTTGAAAACATTCTAAAGATAGGATACACAAACATAATCCGTATTCCGTTCGAAGAACGTCGAATAAAATCGCGAGATTGCCAACTTTATTCGATTTCAAGCTAGATAAGTTTAAACTTTCGAGCAAATTTAATTTACGACTATCAAAATTGGTTTATGTATCGAATGAATTACGCGCAGCTATTGTGTACCTCCTTCAACAGCAGCGACAGAGTCGATATTTCACTTTACACAAGAGTAAAACTTGAACAATTTCTAATTTATAGTCTCGAGTTCTTTTTATTGCTCCTGAGTGTTGCTTTCGTATTTTTCGAGGGGACTATTTTTAAGTAATTTTCAAACAATAATATGATATTTAAAATAAAAATAAAAATCTTTATAGGATGTTTCCTAAGGTAATAAATAACAGAAACTGGAAATATTATGAATACAAGAAATAATGACTCACTGTGAATGTGTAAAATCCCTCTGGTATCGGTTGACCACCAAACTTGATGCTGAGGGTGTAATCACCAGCATCCGCCACAGTATAATAAATGTTCACCGTGCCATCGCCGTTGTCTTCAATATCGATATCCACCACTTCACTGAAAAAATATAAACGAGAAACACAAGATTAAAACCAGCAAAAAGATTCTTTAACAATTAATCAGACTTCTTTTCCTTCCTTTAATGATATAAAATAATGTAATGTTCATATAAATTGAATATTAAGAATTTAGTTGTAATGGCCTTTGATATTTTCATAATTTTACGTTTAACATCGTATTAATAATTATCGATAAAATTTATTGAAGATGCTCGAATATAAAGCTCTGTGAGATAAGTATTAGAAGATTTACAGAGGGAAATTTGACGTCTCCGGTGGAACACAATTCTTGTAGGATTTCTTAAAAATTTTATTTTTATTCCGTCTCTTCCCTCGTAATTCCTTACGCTAAAATAACTTTGCACGTTCTATCTTATTTTAAAAAGTTTCACCGTGACCCCGATATTTATTTCTGAATCGTAAATTTATTGACGTTGAGTCTTTTGATACGACTTCTTAACTCTGGATCCGTTGGTATGTAAGCTATATTTATAGAGACAGCAACGTTCCCTCCCGCAAACGATACGCAAAAATATTTTTCACAAGTATGCTGTCGTACATTACATTATCTCTATTTCCAATCATTGCAAGACATTGAACAAATTTCATTTCAAACATTTTTTTTTTTTTTCGAATGACAAATAACTGCCGTCGATAAATTAAATTGTATCAAGCTACATTAAATTCTAAAATGATCTAACAAAATTCTAAAGGTGAATATTTTATTTCAAACGCTTGATTTACGTAGATCGCGTAGATTTATAGGGTTGGAAGTGGCATGACGTTGAGTAAACATCAGTCAATCATTCGAAGAATCATTCCATTGTGTATCCATTGGTGTTTATCCGAAAGACTATCTCCTCGGCAAATAAACGATTTACATTTTGGCACAAAGTGGTGGTCAGTGTCGTTTGAAGTAATAGCAGATACGCGTATCTGTGACACATCTCTAATTGCCAATAGACGCATTAATAAATCGCGTTCACATTTTACAATTGATGTCTTACACGATCAGCACATCGAATTGGATATTTTGCGAAGTTGTTTCACGAATTTAAAAGCTTTAAATGCTGCATTTCGGATATTTTTATATATTTTTGTGTACTAAAATTGGAATTTTCCATAATCATCAGGTAAAAATTATTTGAAATATTCGAAGTATCCCACGATGAATTTCTGTTAATTTCTACTGATTTTTATAACTTCTATTTAAAATTCTTCTTTAGTACAACAAATATTTTAAGTATAACAAATATTTTACTTTAAATGTCTACATATTTTTGATCCGAAAAATTCACAATACATACAGTATATCACAATACATACATACATACATACACAATACATTCACAATACATACATACATACATACATACATACATACACAATACATTCACAATACATACATACATACAGTAAAAGAAATTTCTATTTAAAATCAATTTCATAAAAATACGAAAATTCTGCAAACATCCACAGTCTAGTTGCAACGAATTGTAAAAAATATTCCACTTCGTACGTATTTCTGCATAAACATTTCTCATAAAGATTCGCAATTTAATTCTAAATAGAAATTAGAGGTGCCTACCTTCCAGAGGTAGATCGTATGCGACAGGTGACCGCACCACGGCCAGCATTTTCAGTATCGACAGTGATACAGTACTCTTCACCCTGAGCCAAAGTGCGTTGAATACCTTCCTTGATTTTACACTTCTCGGCTTTACCAGTGGATACGCTCTGAACGTTGATAGGACAGCCTGGTATTTCTTTGTCGCCGTATTTAACGTTGACTTTGTAACGGCCGCAGTCGTCGGGTAGATAAGTCGCTTTGTACTTTCCATCACCCAGGTTCTGAATTTCAACCTTGCGTGGCACTTGATCTGGACCCTGAGATGAGAAGAGAAAATTGTTCTTGACCATTGATTCAAAATCATTTAAAATCATTCGCAATTCTCAATATTTTACTGGTTTCTAATAAAACTTTCGAGAGTGTAACAACAAATTTTACTAAAATACAAAAACAAAATGCCTACATAGTTCTGCTTTTTCGATTTTTCTTTTCACAATGCCACATCAATTGACATATTTTTATGAAACTTGCGATTAAAAAATGTATAAAACATAAAATTATTTATTATTTGTTAAAATACTCTCACAAATGGTTCGAATACTTTTGTGAGCAACTATATATTATATATTGCATGTATATCTACTTCAAAATAAATTTAAAAATTTCAAATAGTTCCAAAAATTCATCAATTTATTTATGCTAATAAAATCTCAAAATATTCTATTTAACACGCGTCATATATTCATTAAAATATTCCCACAAGTGCGTGAATCGTCTTGCCCAATTGAAGGGATTGTTGCACTAAGGAAACTAATTTTAGTAAACCAGCGAAAGAACAATTAAAAATTACGTACTGTTTCAAACATCCTACAGATTTACGATTAACTAATATTCTTGTCAATAAACTATTACTTGGACCTTGCTATGAAAAGTTTTCATAATTGAAAACATCACAATTATTACAAACGAAGAAGCAATATAAGTGACAAGATAATGAAAGAAATACATATATATTAGAGGTGTCCGAGAACCTGAAATATTGGATCGGATTCCTTCTGTTATATCTTTTGGTTTAACAAATTTTATATCGATTCAGTTTCTTTCCTAGTACATATACTTATGTTTGGATGCATATGCTTCAAATGGCGTAATAAACCAGTGGTATTTGCATACTTAGTTTAAAATTCAGGGTGATAATGCGTGCATTCCGCTTTTGTGTCATCTTTTTCTTGAAAATGTTTCCAAACAGAGCTTCTCTTTACCCTCTTCCTTTGCACGATATCTTCTGCACTACTTCCTGCTACCACAACTTTACTCTCACTGTCACTCGACATTCTTTTTAAAGATTTTTAATCTTTATTAAATTCACACAGATTTTGAAATATATCTGAGCTTTCCGAATTTCTTAACGATACTGCTCAACAGCGTACATAATGTTCAAGCACGCAGTCACACGTTTGTATACATCAGGTCACACGATTCTTAGAATCCGTGTTTCCAATAACTTCACGAAAACTGGCAGAAGTAATTGAAAGAATGTTGTCATCACGAATTCTTTTTAAGAGTGTCATATAAACGTGTAACTGTGTATTTACATATTTGGTAAACTCCTATACAGCACTGCAGAGTAGCTCGAGAAACGGTAGCCGGGTTCCCGATATTTTCGAATTCTCCCACGCCTCTAGTGTATATACTAATCGCAAAGTTCCAAGGGATCGTTACAGACGAAGAATCCTTGATTCTTTACTCACCAGTACTTGAACTTCAAGGTCGCCGTAACCAGCCTCAGACGTGTCGACCACGAAATTAATTGGGAAAGACGCGGTGCAAACAGGAGCCACACCAGGACCCGACACAACAACCTTATTCGGCTCTACGGTAGGCAAAACCTGAGGCTTGAAAGGACTTCCTGGAATGTTCTCACCGTCGAACATCACTCCAACTTGCAGATCGCTGTCAGGTGACGGCGGCTGATACGTTACTTCGAACAAACCGTTCCCACAATTCTTGATCACTGGCTTCTGAACGCGTCCTTTGTTGGTCTTCAGCGTGACGTTCAATTGCGCCGGATTGCATTTCGACGTGTTCACCATGAATTTTGTCGGGATATTTTCTCTAACGACTTCTAAACCTTCGCCGTACGCGGTCACGTTGCTCGCTTGCTTTTCGTCAACCACCACGACTTTGAACGGCGATCCAGGAATGTGTTGCTCGGCGAATTTGATGGATATGTCGTAGTCACCAGGCGAGGGTGGGAAGTATTCCACCGTGCAGTAGCCATCGTCGTTTCTCTTACACGCCACCTCTGCGTAGTCAGTCCCTTCCATCAATAACGATAGTCCGCCGTTTCCGGCATCTGAACATTATGAAAACGATGTATCACGATTTTGTAATGTTAAGATTGTAATTGTATTTGTAAGGATTGTTAATTTTATTTCGACTAAATATTATAATATTATTATCATTACAGATTATAACATTTAATATTGATATTAAATAATTATATAATATTGTAGTATTTATATTTGTATTAAATATATACGTATATGTATTATTTATGTATATTATATAATTAAATATTATATTATACATAAATATTAAATATATTAAATGCTATATTATACATCAATATTAAATATAATTAATATTGTATTATATAATTAAATATATAATTATATTAAATATATACGTATATGTATTATTTATGTATATTATATTATATATATTATATAGTTAAATAAAACCGATAGCTAATTTATTTATCTTGCGGGATCATTTTTCCAAAGTAACTTGTTTCCATTTTGTTTATTTTGTAGATATTCCAACAAGATATTTTCTTAAATGAAACGCGCAAGTTTAGAAACAACCGATTGCTCGAAATTTATTCGAAATACGTGACTAGTCTATTTTACCTTTCGTTTCTACGACGAACGTGTTGTACTTATTCACGTATCCTTTTTCCAAACCCGGTCCATGCGCCTTGCATTTGCTAGGATCGCTGTAATATTGAACGTTGACTGTGAACGGCGAACCAGGAACTGGAATGTTATCGTAGCGTATGTCTATAGTGTGAGGTCCTTCCTCGAATGGCTTGTAACTGACTAAATAGGTTCCGTCCCTTTGTAGAGCGATGACTTTTTCAGTGGTATTACCATCAGGATTGTTAATTATGCAGGACAATTTGTCGTGATCGTTTTTCGTCTTTGGAAGCGATCGCGCGTCCACCGTGAACTCTGTTGCACGATTCACGCACGGGCCTGAAATTCATCGAAAAAATATGTTATTATAATACTCGTAACAATCTAATATATTAACAAACAAACGTTTTATTTCTATCAATGCCACTGCTAAGATATTCATATTATAAAAAGGTAATATTTATAATAGTGGAAATGTGCAGGAAAATTTGTTATGATAAATGTAGCTTCGTGTGTGAATTTAAACACTTGGGCAGAATATAAAATATTATTTCTTGAGTATGAGAATGCACGGACATATGCTTGTAACTTGAAACTGAAACTTAAATAATCAATATCAATAAAATTTCAAACATTCAGCAAAATAAGGTAATAAGCTTTTGTAGACAAATCAACATGGATAACGTGGAAATTCACTCTAAAACAGCACAAACCAATCGATTCGCTATAATACTATACACTAACTTAAAATAAAAGAAAAGAAAAATTTAATGTATAAATTGAAGCGAGAAAAGAAATACATATTTCGTTTGCCAGGCGTTCTACGTAATATTCAGCGTTTGTATACAAAATCGACAGAGCGTTCGTCGAGCGTTGCAATACGTTCGGCGAATAATTTACGACTGCCTGTTTGAACTTGAATGTTGTTAAGAGGTGAAGGGAATTATATACGCATCCGTTTACCTAGTCTAAACGCGCGACTTTTACGAGCGATTTTAAATCAATGTTACCAGCTGCTCGTGAAATTTGAAAATTTAGTTTCATCTCAATTCCAATTTCAGTACAGTTTATGCATGATTTTAATTATTAATAATTGTACAATTAATTAATTTCTATAATTCTTATATATCTATTAATAATTGTACAATTAATTAATTTCTATAATTCTTATATATCTATTAATAATTGTACAATTAATTAATTTCTATAATTCTTATATATCTATTAATAATTGTACAATTAATTAATTTCTATAATTCTTATATATCTATTAATAATTGTACAATTAATTAATTTCTATAATTCTTATATATCTATTAATAATTGTACAATTAATTAATTTCTATAATTCTAAGAATTGCGCAAAAATTATTTAAAACAAAAATATATTTCAATTGAATGTTTATAAGAGTTGTAATAAGGATTGTAAACGCTTATTCGTTGAAGAGAATAAAGAGAATCAACTATTTCATTCTAGTTATTTATATAAAATCTCGACATTTTCTTCATTTTCTCTAAATCTTGATTACGATTTGATCATAATTTGATTATGATTTTATTTGAATAGCGTTTTCCTAACAAGCAAACGAAAAATTAAAAATACCACACAGCATGCATAGAGTGCAGTTTTTCTATGTGTCAAACTGTGTAAAATGCAGCACTGTCATAAATTGCAGCATAATAAACATTTCTACGCAATGAGAAAAAATTGACACAGATGAAACATATTTCATTTTTATCTCACTTAAAACAGGAACGAATTATTTGTGTCTCCTTTTACTACATCTGTAATTTAACTCCGAATTATTTTTATAAAATAAAATTCCCCGAAATATACTTCATCTGTCTCATCATCCACCTATTTGTATATCTATGCAATGAGTCACAGAATTATTTGCACCCTCGCAATTATATTTAGTTATACGATTAATCTCAATTTCCAATTGTATTATAATAATTTGCTATTTTTAAGTAATATTTTTGAAAGATGGAAAGTTCAATTATTGCACGATAAATTCTATAATATACATTATCAAAGAATATTAATCATTTGAATTCAATAACCATGAGAGTACAAATACTTTAATGACTCGCTCGAAATTAGACTGCGAATGTTTATGTAAATTCAAGAAAATGGAATATAAATTCGTCTCGTCTGCTGAACATCATGATTCATTATTTCTAATATTTTATATACAAGATTATCTACATACAAAAAGAACTAAAAGTCTATTCCACTCTTCTGATAAAATAAATTTTCTATACAGTTATACAAAAAATATTATACAATATCTCAAAAATTCCCCCAGAAATGCACAAAAATCCGCAGTCCGCTCGCAACTCTCTGCATTCTATTACACACGCAAAATGGAACGCTGGCAATTTCCAGAAGTTAATGAAAGCAGAACTCCTCGGTAAATCACGGCAAACGGTACCGTTTGGTTGAATGCCGGTTCCGGTGACCTTGATCTTCGATACATCGACGTCTTTCACCACGATCGCCTGGAAAGGCGAGCCAGGGATGTGCTTCTCGTTGAACGTGATATTGATCCCATAATCGCCGATCTCGGTTGGCAGATAGGCGACGGAACAGGTCCCGTCGCCGTTGTCGCGACAATTAATCGCTGCTTCGCACGGTCCTTCGACCGTGACGCCGAGATTACCCTGGCCAGCGCCCCGAGTGTCGATCACAAATTCCGCCGGTTTATTTACTATTCCGTGCGTCAGACCTGGACCAGTGGCTCGTACCTTTTCTGGGTCTGAACCGTGCACGCACGTTAATCGGTACGGTTGATTCGATATCGGCTCACCGCCGAAACTGATTCCCAAGAGATATTCGCCCAGCTCGGTGGGCGTGAAATTCACGAGGTAGCCTTCACGAATCGGCACCACGTGCGCCTTGACACGGTTACCCGAGGGCGCGGTTATCGTCACCTGAAAGTCCGCTGGCTTGCCCGCGCCTTTCGTTATCACGAGGAATTGCTGCAGGCTGTTCACCGGAGCCGCTGCGACATGGATTTAGTTTGGAATTTGTTTTAGTTGGAATTCTCTGTCGACATCGATGAGGTACACGAGTATGTAAAGAATTTGAGGTTTATGAGTGGTTGGTTCTTCTGGTTTGTTGTGTATAGTAATATGTTCATCGAAGAAGTGATAGAAGTATGATATGATATTGTAGAATCTTGATTGCCGTGACACGGTAACTGAATGATAGTCTAGTAATAATGTAATAAATATTAACAGTTTGGGAAATCGTCTAAAGTATCATGAATATAATTTTTCAACATCTATAGTACCTAAGAGTTAATAATAAATTTGATTAATCACGAGTTCAATGAATTATAAGTTAAATAAATGAAATCTTCCATAATATTTCTGTAACTCTTCGACAGCTACAATACTATAAAAATTAATCACATTGAATAACAAAAAATTATATACCAATCTTTTCTAAAATATTATTACATCCAACACGAAAATTCCCTGAGTCACCTATTCGATGTGAAAACTAAAATATAAAAATAAACCAAATCAGATACTCACTTTCTGCAAGGCCTTCCACTTTAACCTCCGAGATGTCGATGTGCGATTGAACGTTCACTTTTATTGGACACTGAGGTGCGTTCAGGCCTCCATAATTCAAATTAACGAAGCACGTTCCTGGTTCGCGTGCTACGTATGTCACTGTATAAGTGCAGTCCTTGTTGTCCGACAGTGAAAACGGAATCTCTTTCTTGTCAGAATCTTTTATGCTCACGCGAAGTTGGCCTGGACCAACTTCGCGACAGTCGACGACAAAGTGAGTTGGTATGTTTGATTTGACGCCCTTCTCGAGTCCAGGTCCGTATGCTGATAGCTTAGCAATATTCAACGGTGCTTCCACTTTCATTCGATAGGGAGAGTGTTTCGTAGCTACGCCACCATAATTCACCTAAGAATTAATTATACCGATGTTATTATTATTCTACAAACTATACGATTTTATTACATTAATTTATTGTATTGATGATATTACAAATTATATCGATGTTAATTATATTCTAGTTTATGTAGCCAATTTTTCCTACAATTCACACTCACAATCGATTTACATATATCAAGATCGAACGTGTTAGTTTCGATAAGTCAAATAAAATTCTGATATTTTTTAACTAACCATTGTATGTTAATTTAAATATGTTTATGTACTCTTAATGAAAAATAACTTAGGCTGAATGGCTTCTGAACCATCTATATAATTATAGAAATATAAAGCTTGCGAAATCTTTTTCTGTGTCTTACCATGATAACGTGATTTGATGCAGATATGGGAGTATAATGACATTGCACAGTGCCATCGTACTTATCCTCCAACAGAACAGAAACGTTTTTTCCTTGAGCATCTTGCGCGATGACTTCCAACGGCGCTTGGCCAGCTTTTCTTACGTCCACTGTGAAATTCGTTGGTTTTTTACAGTGAAGTGTCTCCGCTTGAATTCCTGGACCATATACCTCAACCTACAAATTTACATTTTGCATATACCTCAACCTACAAATTTACATTTTTTTTATTTAAAATTGTGCTGTATTTATTTTATGCACATATCTTTGTATGTGCAAAATAGATAATAAAATTCTTGAAGAACTGTAGATATATTTTATAATACAATTGCAAGTATATGAATCCATATTACATAATTGTTAGTACATTAATATATTACATTTATAGACTGTTCGTTGTACATTTTTTTTCAATTTCAAAACAAGTACAGGTATCGAAAAAACACTATCTTTATAAAAACCTCCTATCAATCGTCGAGAATAAAAAAATATATCAAGAATAAAAGCTATAAAATTCAAATAAAAAGTATATCATAAAGACACGTCAAGAGTGAAGCTGAAATAAAAAGATAAGGGCAAACCTTGTCAGGATCGAAGTCGCTTTTCGGCAAGATATGCACGAGGTACGGTGATTTCGGAATGTCCTCGTTGTTGCAACGAATATGAACAGCATAGTATCCTGGAGCAGTTGGTAGGTAAGATATAACACCAGTTCCATCCCCATTGTCATGACAAAAGATCTTCGCTTCCGATGGTCCCTCGATCGCGAATCCAAGGCTAGCAGTTTCTCTTTGCGTGTCGATAATAAATTTCGCCGTGTGACCAACGATACCACCGCGGAGACCAGGACCATAAGCTTTGATCGCCGATTCCTTGTAAGGACCAACGTTCACTTCGAAAGGTGACTTGTAAATTTCTTTTCCGCAGTACGTTATCATCACCATATATCGTCCCTCTTTCATCGGCGTGTAATTGCACTTGTACGTTTTTGAATCGACTCTAACCACTCTGGAAGATTATTTATAACAAGGTTCTATTTATTTGGGGGATTTTTATTTTGGAGGAGTAATTTGTATAGTGTAAGTTGTCTAATTCTGTTATCTTGTAAACTACTTGTAAATTTATTACATAAAAGAATGTTTCAAATGAGGGTTGTATGCAATTACGAATGTTAGATAATACATTATTAATATAATATAGTAATTTGTGTATATAATAATTACTGTAATGTAATAATTTATTTGCTCTCTCCTTGAGCACAAATTTGAAAGAATATTAAACCTCAAATAAAAAGCTATTAAGATATATTAGTTTCTAAAATATAAGCAAGCTTTATATTTGAGAATATTAAACGCTGAGTAAAAAAACTACTAAAATAAGTACTTATTGCTATCTCTGAAACTTTTTATCAAGAAAAAAATTATTAATTTCTTGAACTAACTAGTTTTTTATCACAATAATTTAATATTCTTTTAAATTGCAAGGAATTCTTTCACTAAGTTTTATAGTGTAACACTTCCTTTGGCGACTTATTGTATATATATCTTTAACTCAAGAATATGTTTCAATCAAGATTTTACAATCAAACATGTTTGAAGAAAGGAGTATGATTAGAGTATAATTACTGCACTGATTGATTAACCCCTCCAGGACCAATGATTTTAATTCCAGGCACATCTTCACCAAAATCCTTCGTAACTATGACGAAATCTGCATCATCCTGAACGCGGACTCCATTCGGTAACAATCCTCGTCCATAAGCTCTACACTTCTGAACCTCTGATGTTGAGCTTATGTTAACGTTGAAGGGACTTTCAGGTATAGGTTTTCCAGCAAAGGACACATTCACCGAATGTAAGCCAGATTCAGTCGGGATGTATTCGCATCTCCATACTTCTGGTAGAGTTTGACGTAATTTCACCGGCACGCTTAACCCCTGAAATAGAATGACAAGCTTAGTAGTAGTTTAATTAAATATAACCCCTTTAAATCATATTCTTTATGTTAATTTCAAAGATGTTCAAAAATTAATTAGATACGACATTAATTATAGATAAGTTCATCGCATTAATTTCATCGCATTCGATGTACAAACAAGATGTACAATGATTAACCAAAAATCAGTGTCCAAAATTGTCAAAGCTATTTTCTATAATTCTACTATTCTAGTTATTTTCACATGTAATTTCAATCTGAATTTCGAATATAGTTTACTTACTCGAATACTTTGGCTACACCTTCATAGAACGCATTTTAAAACTCAAACGATATAAAGAAGACAGTTGAAGATCCGATTAAAAAATGCAACTGCAAAAGTTTATAAATTACTTCTTTAAATCAGTTTCTTTTGCAAACGAAAATTCGTTCGATTTATGTTCGATATTCGTTCGATACATTCAAATACTAGCGCCACGTAACGATGAAACTATGGAACTAATTTCACCGCGTGTTTTGAAAATGCGAAATTCTTGCCACCTACCAGACGAGTTAAATTTGGCAAAAAATAACAGAAGTACCGAATATGCTAGCGACTAATCACTAATTATTCGATTTCTAAAATACGTCCGCACATTTTTGGAATTAGATAAAGTATAAATCTTAATTTCTGTTCAATTAATAACACGCGGTAAAATTAGTTCTACAGTTTCGCCGCTACGTGGCGCGGTGTACTACTATTTGAATGCTCATAAATCAAACAAATTTTTATTTGTAAAAAAGCTAATTAAGAGAATTACTTTACAAACTTTTACTGTTGCACTTTCCTTCTTGTATCATTTGAACTTCGAAGTGCATCTATAAAAGTCTTTACGCACGAATTCTTTTTCGTAACTGTACTGAATAAATACGATGAATTTATATTTAATTTATGTTATAAATAATTAATTTATAAACTTTTTCGAATGTAATATAAAGTACTCTAAGAGTCTAAAGAAATATTTATAATTGTTTCATTCATAATGTGATATCAAAAATGTATCACAAGTCTTATAATATCCTCTTCTCTATTTGTAAAATATTTTATCAGAATCGAAATCTAAACGTCTTGTATAATTAATGAAACTCATACAGTTAAATTCTCTTCAATAATGTATTACTTGTGCGTTCAAAATTGTAACTGCAGGTGCACCACGTCCAGCAGTTTTTGTGAATATACCAAAGAAGGTAGATCTGTTTAGTGCAACTCCTTCTGGCTGTAATCCTGGCCCACTCGCTGTAACTTTGTTAGGATCGCCTGTTGGTGTGTCTACATTTATCACGTATGGACTTTTTAGAATTTCTCTTCCGGCAAAGAATATTTTCACTTTATGCGGCATTGCGCTCCTCGGAGTGTACGACACAGAATAGGTGAGATTTTTGTCATTGTTGAATCTGATATCGACCTTCAAGAGAAAAAATTTGTAATTATTAAAAATGTTTTATATATTTAATTGCAATTTAAGTAGCACTTAACAGTAGAAATATTGGCTTTTAATATACAGGTATAATATATTATGTATAACAATGTACAGGTATAAAAATATAAATTAATTATTTTCATTAATTAAAATTCAAATAATAGATCCTTTACAGTGAAACAATCCATAGAAATATCTTAATGAGATATTCTAATTTAAAATACCATTTTTACACAATATCTATTAGGTATCTGTATAATAATAAATATCTGACTAACTAATTTTCATTATTTCCTCTTGAAAAAATTAGCGAATACTCTTCGATCATTATTACAATATACGTGCATTGTATCGATACAAATTTATAGTTTCTTCAGAAAAAAATTCCGAAAGAAATAGCACTTAAAGTTATTGATGAAATCACCAATTGGATGATTCATCTGTTGTAATTTGTGAATCCTTGAGTAAGTATTTATTGGAAGGTTGTAGTTATTAGCAATGTAATTTATGCGAGTGTACATTTATTCATGTTTCTCGTGCAGAGAAGCTTGTTCTGTGCCAACTTGTGGTTGACTACCTAACAATTAAACCGTGCGTGCCAAAGTTAAAATCCCGACGTTTTAATTGCTCGTAATTTTACACGTTAGTTTTACAAACCTTTGTGTTATACTACATTCAAGATATTTGTAATCAATTTCATAATATGTTTTATATATATAAAATATATTATATATATATAAAACATTAAAAAATATATTATATTATCAAATATAAATGTAATTACCAAAGTAAAGATAAAATAAAGTCCTACTAATTTGAGTAGATAAATTCCTGTGAAGTATTTCGTAACGGTAAATAAATGTGGAAACATACGTAAGTATAATTATTACATCATGTACATCCTGGTTTATAATCAATTTCTGATTACAATATAAATGGAGCGATTTCCGGGATGACGGTCAACCACATTATACGCGATAAGTAATGAATACGTAACATAATAATCATAGCGCGTGTAATAATCATAAATAAATCGTGAAAGTGCAAAACGTATCAATATATAAAATTTGTTATAATTTTTAATCTTAATGAAACAAATCTCTATTCGTACTCCATCTCTTCGGTGAGCTTTTGTAAAATTCGATACAATATATCATAGACGTAGGTAATCAAAATTTAGTTAAATGAAACATATAATTCTTTAATTAATTCAAATTATAATTTCCCTAAATTTTTCGAACGCAGATTTTTAAATCTATAAATTTATATTTTTACAAATACAATTAAAATTTTACAAATACAATTAAAAGATTGAATTGAAATAAAAATTTGCTCTGCTTATTGAAAACTATAAGAAATAGTCAAATAATTTGAATATTTTTCGAATATTTTATACAATTTTGAATAAAACTCTGATATATTTTAAAGAGAACCATTCATATTAAAGAAAATTATTCTTACCGGAATTTTATTTCCTTGAGCATCTTCCACGATGACATCAACGTCTCCTTTACCAGCAGAAAATGTTTCAACAGTGAAAGTAGTCGGTGTTGATACAACTACACCATTTGGTTCAATTCCAGGACCGTAAACACGTACTCTACAGCAAATAAGAAAATTACAATAATACACGAGAAGCAAAAGAAATAAAAAATTAAAACGACACATAAAAATTAAAAAATTAAAAGTACTAATAGAAGTCACATTTAAAATTCACTTTCTAAAACACTTCTACAATTCTTGCTAAATTTATTATATTATAATTAAATTACTTGTAATATATTATAATTGCTTAGTGTTTGTAAAAGCTGCCACATTATTATAACATTTAGTTTAAACAGCCAGAAATTAATCGCGTCAAACTTAACGACTCTTAATCTTAGGTAACAAAACTTATCAAGGGGATGTTGGAATAATTATTATTAACTGTGGTAAAAAAATATGAACAACAATGTATGATATTTACGCAACTTACCGCGGTGGCGGAATACTGCAACCGGGAAATAAAACAGATTTATTAATCACAACTTTCTGTCATTAAACATTCACTCTAAGAGAGTAAATATAGAAGAAATAATTGATATTTTTACTTCCATATTTAATACCTATTCTATTTATAAGTAATCTACAATTTATAATTTTATATCGATGATATATAATTTTATTATTTACAATTTTTATATTATCAAATGTAATTCACGATCTATTTTAATTTTTCTACGCAATGTAATATGATACGAAACATGATCGAAAAGAGTATTTTCTTTTTCATTTACTCGCCTATTTCGATTAGTACGTGGTCTAAGAGGTGCTCCTGGCTTTAGTTTTGCGTTAGGGTATTGACTCAAATATGTCATCATCGACATTTCGTCTATATTTGGATTAACCATCTCCTCTGGCTTGATGAGCTGTGTAAAAAAAAATAATAATAAAACTAATCATGTAATTTATTTTGGTAATTTCAACTTATTTTAGAAAATAAAATGAACGGAACTAACAAATAAACAACGTATAAGTTTTTTTGCGAACTCTTCTCACGAAATAATACAATGAATGAAGATCACAGTGTGTTACCTGAGGTATGTTCAGCCAATCATCGGCTAATTGCATTGCTTCTGATGCATTTCGAATTGCATCATTTTTATTCCAATTCTGCCAATCGGGACAAAGACCGGATGCAACTCCATCGACCAAAGCACCGATAGCACGACCATCGTTCCAATCAGTAGTGAAATTACTGATTGATAATTCGGGAACTTTGCTTTTGATCCACCTGATGAGTCTTTGTTTTGGTCCCTCGGTCTGGGATCCCTCCTCCCCATTCCAAAGAGGCATCGATATCGAATAATGTAAAATTAGGGTCCATATTAAACCCAGGATTAACTTGAGCTTCGAATCGACGATGTCCGTTGAATCTGTAAAATGATATTGTTGTTGTGAGAATTAATCATCAAATGATATGATTCTTTAATTAATAATAGATAGATATAATAATAACTATTGTAATATATACATAACGAGTTTCCTATTAATATAGGAAATATTAATAAATATTAATATCAAATATTCTTAGTAAATGATAGAAAATTACCTAAGTATTTGAGTAATTAATTGAAGTATTTGATTGATATTTCTTGTCAATTTAAAGAATCAATCCTTGACTGACATCTTCGATTCTTTCGAAAGAGAAAACTTTTAATTTTGAAAATTAAATTTCGAGAGTTGCGACAAATTGTTAAGAAATCGTGCAGGAAAATTTTATTTGAACGTGATACAATAAAACTGTTCGATTTTCTCCGACGAAACAGGAATTTTTATACAAAATCAAAGAAAAAGAAGATAACTTTATTAGGAAAGAGATAGTCGTTCTTTAAATCAATATTACACAAGAGAGAAACTACAAAGCTTTTATCATTGTCAGGGACAGCAGCTAATGCCACTGTAAGTACACCTACATGATCAGAGTAAATATATCCTGCAACTAGTTAAAGTACTTATCTCGACGTACGTTCTATTTCGAGTACGAAAATAAAAATTATCAAATTTCGTCGTTTCTTTTTCTTTCTTTTTTTAATAAAAGCGTATGAAAAATGTGAACACCAATTTTACACTCGTTAAATGGGATAGATGATTGTTTCGTATTAAAAAATATTAATTTATAGTAGCCCAAAACCTATTTCATTAGAAATACTTCTTCGTTTGCGTTTATTTGGAATATCATTCACGAATTGAATTTTTTGCTAAAAAGAACCTGCTTTAAAAGGCATTGTGCGAAACCAGTCTGAAATATGCATATATTCCTGACATTTCCGACCAGAAATAGTTGCTCAGTGATACAGTGGCTAAGAAATAACGCTTACAGCGTAAAAATGAATCAACGCTCGTTCTACGAAAGAATTTAGTTGAGCTGGATATGAATATGCAGCTAAAAAAAAGAGAATCGAGAATTATTTGTGCACGCGAAATACCTTGTTTTACATTCTCTATATTTGTTGTAAAATATAAATTCACATGTGAAAAGATTATCAGAAATTAAAAGTATAATTGTCTAGAACATAATAAAATATTAATACATTTAAAGGAAAAATTTTCGGAGATACAATAGGACGATCTTGTCTAAAAATCATAGTTCAACTCGTGTACGCTCTCTCACCTTTAATACTTTTACAAAGGGATTGTGTCATCTGTCCATAAATACTTGCGTATTACGTGCGCATTATATCATAATAGCTTATTAGAGATAATCAATATCCTCAATTACACAGTTCGTGATTTCCTTCTAATCATAATCTAATTTTATTTCTAACGATAGGTCATTTAGATCTTTATCATCTCATTATATAGTTTACGATCTTTAGATTTTGGTTCCAATGCCAACTGAAACGAACGTGTTAATTGCAATTTGCAATCGACACCGAATAAATGCATTTTACAAGCAGCAGATGAATTTTGAACGAGCGTTTGAAGTTTTGATATTCTTAGCGCGACGTCCAAACGACAATATATCGGAGGGCCAACGTATTGTCATAATATAACTCGAGCAAAATATTTCAGACGACCGCATGGCTGTTTCTCATATTTCTAGAAATCAAATAACCACGGAGTTTCATACGAATGAATATCGAGCGAACGTTTCAACTGCATTGGTTTTAATCAAATTTGGCAACTTCGCAACGTGGGTATCTGACGAATGTATTTTTGGAGAAACACACTCGCAACCTTGTCAATTCGTGTAAAATTAGATAAGAATGTGAGATGTAACAATATATAAAAATCATAAACGGACATACGACTTGGTAATCCTAGTTCTGCAAATCTGAACTCGATACTTTGATGTTTCTAAATATTTCTAAAGTTAACATAGAATGTGATAGAAATATTTTTAGCGTCTTTGGTAGATTTTAATTTCGTTCCTATAATTTATCGTATTTATGTATTTACGTATTTTAATTTATATACATTTTTCAAATATCTATTTTCTTTATGAAATAAATGAGAAAATAATTGTAATACATAGCTGAACAAATTACAAACGTGAGAATTATGCTCCGTACACAATAGGCTTCAATTTCGAAAGAAACTTCTCTATTCATAGTACATACAATAGAATGTCTCGTGTTACGTGGTTGCTATTTACACAGATCCGGTATGATGATGAGTATATTTCGAGAAATTATATCAAATGCAATTCGTGTCAATGCAATGAATGAAAAGTGTGCTACATATATGTACACTTACAATTTCAAAACACGAGGAAGAGGTTTTTAATAGAAGTAAATAGTAAATGAAGATATTGGCAAAGATTTTTCAATTTATATCATTCACTCTTTTAATTCACAATCGGTGATTCATTCCAATTAAAATATCCAAATCACCCAAATTCTGCCGTTATTAAGAATATTACAGATCGTTATATTTAGAATAAGATTGTTTTAAAATTATTTTTAAATGACAGAATGAGAATGAATAATTCTTCTTTCTTTTTGAACACGAATATCATTTTTCATCTTTTACTTGTATACGTATGATATAATAAAAAAAAACTAACAATTCAGAATCACGATATCGATATAAAATTATCAATTATAACTGATAAACTGCGAATATTTACGCATTTATGGAAAAATTCAAATACACAAAATGTACGTGTAATTCAAAAATATGCAGAATCTCGAATTGATAAATCAAGTCTCTCTGCTTCTAATTTCATTAACTCTCGTCCGTCAGTTTGACACATTTCCCTTACAAAATGCATAAGATCACGATATGAAATTGTCCGTCTATCCGCAATTGAATAAAAATTTAATCCACTTGCTATTAACAAAGAAATTTGCAATTTTAACTGTCTATCTTTTCTATTGTATTCGTTTCGTGTCACATTAAGTCGGAAAAATAAGCGACGTATAATTATGTAAAAATTGTCTACAATTGACGTTCAGTAGAAATCTGAATTTTTTTGAAGAATTTGCACAAATGCCGACAGTCGAAAAATTAACAGTTAACTAACTTTATAAATTGTCGTAAATTAAAAAGTCGAATTGAGAGTTTGTCACGGACATTGACAACTGCTGGTTATTTTTTTATAAATTACGTTTAACTTTAAAAAAAAAAGTCAGAGTCAAAGATGCTTGGAAATCGTCTCCTCCAGTTCCTAATGCGCGTTCAATCTCATGACGTAATCGGTTAGCCATCAATGACGTCATCGTCTAAACTCGTCGTGGAATACGGTCGAGGAAAACGTCATGGGCACTCCGAGAAGAATCGTAATCGGCGACTCAACACATATAAACAATGAATTCTTCTTGCCGATTTTGCACGACTGGATATTAGATAAGATAACGATTGTTAAATTAATAAATAACAAGTGTTAAATTATCGTTGCACCAATCTCTTTCACACCTTTGAAATTCGCATAAGAAAGCAAATCAATACTACTCGCGCGTGATTAAATTTTTTAATTTCTCCTAAGCGAGTAAAAAAAAGATATACACTTCCCGTTTCTCTGTTTCATCGTAAAGAGTGAATGATAAACTTATCTGCATAATAATAAAGTATAATAAGCATGCTGTAAGCAAATGAAAAAAGAACAATGAAAGAAAAGGAACGTAAATAAGATAAGAAATATTAATGGACACACCATTAAATTACTAATGAAATGAATTTCTTTTCACTTAATATCTCGTCAAGTTTCCTTTTGTTTCAAATCATTTTTCTCAAGATTTCTTCGCGATTTTTATACGTGTACATATTTGTGCGTAGATGGAATTTATTCTGATAATAAATAACTTTCGGCCATGATTTTAATTTCATTAATAAGGAATTATTCTGTCTAACATCATAGAATAGAAATAATTATCAATACGATCAAAATAATTGAAACGATGCTACAGTAAATGCAGAAATTTAGAAGAATGACTTCGTTACAAAGATGTACGATACATAAATCTAAGCGAATAAAGCATTCCATGCCGTGATAACCAGTTATATTTTAAATTGGGAACGTATCGATAAGTTGTAAGACGGAAAAGAGAACTATTATCTTCTATCCTCTCGACAGGCATTGTTATCTTCCCAATAAATTAACACACTTTACAATTAGAGCGGATGAAAAGATTCGTTCTCTGACCCGATTGTCAATCGATCATTTATACAGAATGGAATTAAATTAAAATTAAGACGAATCATCTGAAGAAAAACTGCTATCATTTCTATTTGTCTCACATCACAAATTAAAATTATAATACCATTTTTTTAGTAATTATAAAAATCAGAGTTTAATGACTAATAGCAACCATAATTTATTTCATAATTATAAAATATTATATTGGAAGAAATAGAAATCGTGTCGATGACATTTTTACATGTTTGACATAATTAATGTACTACAGTTGTTATTAATAAAGCTTGAGGAATACTTTTCACTAAATTTTCTCGATATTATTAAGAGAAGATTATCTTATCAGGAGAAAGACTTTTGGCACATACGCAAACTGAAACCGAGGATGACGTTCCGCTTTGTACCTGAGCAAATATGACCTTCACCTCATCTACGTGTGTCTGCCTACCTGCTTTCCCGCCTACTTTCCATCTCTCCCTCTCGTTCTCTCCCAAAATTATTTTCATAATTTTTAGACGGAGTAATTTACCTACGCGAAAGTATCGATTTTATATCGACATTTATGACTCGATATCAATTAAATTTTAAGAGAAATTCTGTATGATTTTTGAGTGATAAATATCTTTTACTTGACGTATCAATTAAACTCCTTTAAATTGTATAAATGCCTAGTCAAAATTAATTAAAAACAAGAATAGCTAAAATCACAAACTAATAAGTATACATTTGTGACTTAATATCAATTAAATTCTTTGGCATTTTATAAGTCTAAGAAAAGATTGTTTTTTCGGAGGAAATTTAAATTTTCTTTGTGTGTGGAAACGAGGAAAACTAAAATCACAACGTGATAAATTTATGATTCCCTATCAATCGAATTCTTTTAAAATCTCTATAAATATCTAGGAAATCAATCTTTGAAGGAAATTAAAAATTTCTTTGGAAACGGGAATAATTAAAATCACATGATTACTATGGAATTTCAATATTCATCTTATGAAAATGGAAATTATGAATGCTTTCAATATTCATTTCGAAAATAAATAGAACGTATTTCTTAAATAAATAGATCGAAACTGGCAATTTTTAAACAGATAACAAAATTATATACGTATATTCTTATCCTATAAATTCTAAAGTATTTGAATAAAACTATATCAATATGACAATATCTTACATAATTTCTATTTTGTATCATTTATGTAATCTCCATTCAAACGAATCAGATTTGTTATCTTATAAATAAGATAATAATCTTACACTCTTACATTGATCGGTTTATTAGATTGCAATGTAATGTAAAAATTTGTTAAATGAAATGTAAATTATACTTTTGCGTTATTTTTATTTATTAATAGTCTAAAGTCCACGTCGGAAATTAATTTGATGATTCATTTTGACAAAAAAGAGGGGATATCCTTCGTAATTTCGTATATATATATACCATAGTAACACCGTCCTCGTTCTTAAATCATCGTCACTTACAAGACAGCCTTCATTATGTAGACATTGAATTTCTTAACTTAATTTATCGATTTATTTAACACCCACAAAATTTGTTCATGATCCTAACAAACCACAGATCACGTAAAGGTACTTTTTTTTTTTTTTTCATGTTATCACCTTACCGATAGTCACGTAAAGAGATATATTTTCCATGTTATTAATTAATCATTAGTCACGTACGTTCTTTAGTACAAGTACTTTTTACAATCTCATTGAAGAGATTGTAAATTTTTAAACATAGTATTTGGAAATTTTTGAATCGAGATAAGACACAAGTTGATACAAATGTATTGAAATACCTATATCGGCAAAAATTTCCAGTCCAAAAATCGAATACGAGTAGCAATACGAACATTAAATATGTTGTACTTTTTGAACGAAAGTTAGAAATACGTAGAATAGAAATTTAGAAAAGTCTCCAAACTTACGTTGTCCCGATTTATTTGTTTCGATCCTTGAGATATGTAAACTTTAACCGATTTTACGACCTCACTATGCTATATCCACATGTATTATGCTTGTGATTGTACGTATGTTTATTTTCGCACATTTTTGCGGCGTACGAATAATATTGTACATTATATAAAATCTACCGTAATAAAATATTATCCAATATTAAAAATTAAATGCTCGAGATCAATGGAATTTGCATTACTGTTGAACAAGACGAATTTTTTATATCTCGACTACGATAAGATATACAACGAGAAATATATATATATATATATATATATATATATATATATATAACAAATTTAAATATACAGAATAATGGTTCAAATATCATTAGATATACTTTACACGTTTAAATATCAATAAGCAGACTGTGAATATTTATGCAAACTCATATTTTTACGAATGTAATTGAAAAGATGTGAGCTAAATAAAAATTGGTTTCAACAGCTAAATATTATAATGTGTAGTTTACTATTTTAATGTGTAATTACTGTTATAATTAGTTTACTATTATACATAAAACGTGTAGTTTTATACTTTTGTTATTCTGTGTATTCCGTAAATTTTTCATGAAATGCATAAATATGCGCAGTCTATTAATATATTTATACAACGAAACAAATAAACTATCCTTAAAAGGAAAGAAAAACGGATACTAAATCTTAAAAAGGACTTTCCCTCTATATCCTCTAATTAAAGAAAGAAAAGAGTCAGATCCTCCAATCGCGGTAACGATTCAAATGAACGATTCCAACCGAGAAAAAAAATGGAACAGTGCGATACAAGTCTCAAATACAAATAAAAAAACATACACACACACACACACACAAGTGTCAGTCGACTCACCGATGTTAACGATCCTTATTCCCTCGTCGTCCAAAAACTTCAATGCCACCGATACGTTTTCCAATTTCTGTGACCTGAAGACGGGCTTCTGACTGTGTTTTGGTAGCTTCTTCTGCGCGAGCACCTCGATCAAACTGATGAGTAGAAGACCATCGGACAAATCATATTCCAAATCATCGATCTGCCTGTTCACCGTTTTCAGCTTCTCGTTCGCCCATCTCGTGAACGTGTTTTGCTGCGTCCGTTTCCACTGGGCATCCTCCAGCAAGTCTTGCTCGAACATGTCGTCGTCCTCTTCCTCTGCGTTCTCGCACTTGACTGACTTATCGTTCTCGCACATTTTATCGGCCGGTTCGCTCCTACGGGATTGACATTGGTAATAGTGAGCACGATGGTGGTGGAATTTACCTTGTGTGCGTTCACACATTCCTGATCTCCCCTCTCCTCTAGAACGGAGCCGTGGCTCCGCTATACAGCTCTACAGACTGGTGTGTCTGGCTCACTTTCTCTCATTCTACTTTATCTTCTCTTATGCATGCGCATACTACTTAAAATATATATGTACATATATACATATATATATACTATATTTGTATAGTGTTTCACGGGATCGTATGTGACATACAGGCGAAAGAAAAAAAAAGTATTCATACTGCTGGAATGTAGAAATAGAAGATGCATGTTATATATTGTTGAATGTGAATGTTTAATATTTTGTAATATTCATTATTAAATATATCACTCTATATTGACAAATTATTAAATATATTTATGATACGTATAGTGATGGATAGAAGAAAATTTGAGACACATATTTATAGCACGTTTTTAAAAGATGGAATTATAATAATAATTATATCTGACAATGAGTAAATATAAAATTAAAATAAAATTCAGAATGAATTACTGTTACCAACGTACTAAAGAATATGATATTTAATAAATTATTAACAGTCATGGTGTTTCTACTGTAAATTTTCTTTTCCCCAACATCTCTTTTACTCGATGATATTTCTTTAGTTCTTATCTGTAATACTTTGATAATTTACTGATAATTCATTATTTGAATATAAAACTCAAATCGATCAAATTTCGTATGAAAAAACAATTGCAATGTGCATAATAATAATGTTCGTATTATCTACATTCGTAAAATTATATTTCTTGAAATTTATAATGTTTTTTATAAGCAACATCGCTAAATAAATGATTTTAATAATATAACTGTGGTGGATTTATTGACAATAACGTTATTGCAAAATAACAAAAAAACCTACAGAACATTCCAAGATCTGCGACAGTAAAGAAACTGTTGACATTCTTGCAACTTTAGTAAGCAATATTTCTGCTTATTAGTAAGGAATATTTTTGCTTATTACATGAAATAACGAAGACATTTGAGATGGTAGATCATTCTATACACTTCGTACGATATGCGGAATGACCTAATGTTAAGTTTCATCGATACGAATGCCAATTCACTTCGTAAAGATACAAAATCGAATTCAACAACTTTCAAATTTTTTTCTTATTTCTTTGAAATAAAGTATGCTTTATTATTATAATTGATTATAGTCGTAATTATGTTAACACTTTTATTATCTGATCCTATATTGTTTGAAATTAAATAACAATTACGCTATATATGCCTATCGTTCTGTTTGATATACAATTTGAAAAATTACGCAACTGGACGAGAGAAAGTGAAATGTAAATTCCTATGCGGTACGTATCAATAAAAGTGATAATGTAAAAAGGTGGATTTAACTAAAGTTAACAGAAAAATACCGAGATTACATCGCTAATGGATAACACCCGATATAGTAAGTATCGCAACACGAATTCCTTTTACGAAATAGTCACCTTCTTCTTCCTTTTCCGAAGCGATTCCAGTTTTAGCGACAGACCTTACGTTCCTTTACAATCAAGAGTTAGGTCACAGTCATTTAACTGCCCTAAAAAAACAGGCCGATACGTTTCGATTAAAATACGACAGTCACAATTCACAATTGAAACGAAAATTACAAAATTATTTCATGTATCGAGCTATCTTTTAACGGAATTTTAATAATAAAGCATACGTGTCTAGAAATATTATTTAAAATTCAGTCAGAGAAATTTCAGTAATATTTTTCAAACGGCAACGAAGGTTTTCTACAACTACGAAATCTAACTAATTAGATTTCTGTAAATTTTGTTTCTCAACTGCAACATCTATTTCAGTAAATACAAAGTTATTCGAAAACTACTACAGACGCGGGATATTTTTCAATTAATAATCTTCTTTAAGCGCAATAGATTTCTGTAAGAGATCTGCTGACGATGAGGAATGGTCATTTCTCTGCTATTCGGACGGCTCTTTTGAAACGGAGGATCACGTCGCGACATGTCAAAGAATAATGAAAAATAATGAATATCTCGTTTTCTCACTAAGTTCTGGTTGACTCATTCTGATATATAATTCATCAGCTGTGAGAGGTGACCGCTCGCTGCGACTAACTCTACCGTGGTAGAAATAATGGCGTATAAGTTTCGAAATTTGGCAAGCGAACGTCTTCCGAAATACTACTGCATATGATGATTGCGAGAGATTATTATACCACCCTATCCTGCGATCGTTATTAAAAGAGATTCAGACGCGTGTCACACATGTACTTCATATGAATGTAAAGCGAATAAACAATTCTTTGTAAATATTCGTATTTGGAAGTAGAATTCAATATTTATCAGCAAGAGCAACTCTTACTGTTGGTCCATATTTAACTCTCATGATCCAACGCCTAAGTAACTGTGACTCATCCGTTTGACGGACCTGTTCGTAGCCGCGAGATGATGATCGCATAATTGTTAAGAGCAAATCTTTGACGAACGAAAGTTACAATGCTTTAAAGAACAAAAAAATATACCGACGAATTAATAAAATCATTTGATTGATTGACACCTTTGATTTGTCATGAATATTTCTATAGAAACTATTGTACCAGGATTTATATAAACGAATGAATTTTGATGTTTTAGATAAGTTATATTGCTTATCAACTTGAGATGAGTTATATAAATAAAATCCACCTCGTCAATTTCAATGATCCTGAAATATATTATGAAGATCAATATTCTGAGTAATCTTATACAGAGTATGTCCCACGCAACTGGGACAAATTACTAAGCTAAAACATGTTATTAAATTTCTTAAACAAGAACGACAGAAAGAGTAAAAATTATAGAAAGACACGTGAATCATGTACATGTGACTCACATATCAAGCAACATAAGGAAAAATGTGTTCAAGATGCAAGTGGAGGATTATTCGAATATTTGCAATAACGTTACATCATGCAACGTATTTAGTATTAATAAATAAAATTTCCTATTAAAATTTGATAAATAATATTTATGGGAGGAAAATAACTAATATTTATGGGAGGAAATATTTTTGACAAAAATTTTCCAGAATAGTAATAATAATTGTTTAAAAATAAATAAATATAACAGATTTGATAACTCAAGTCTAGAATTCAGAAATCTCTATAAGACTACAACTTTGTTCCAAAATTCAACGAGGAAGATCTTTTTCCTTGATATTTGTGTTATTCGTATTGATTCGAATATGTTTAAGATACATAACATTTCTAATTAAATTTTCTGCAATTTTGTTTTAACTTCAGGCAAGCTAAAATCAGTGACCTATCTATCTACTCTCTAACAAAGTAAAACTTGTACTAAAAAATAAATCTATAACATACGTAATATATATAAAATCTTTTATTACATAAAAACGATTAGGATGTTAAATAAGGCACATTGCATACACTAGACTAGGCACTATTTCAAACTTTAACGATTATGTTATAGATGGTTGTCGAATAGGTAATCTGATGAATGTAATAGGAAATTAATCAATTCCATGCTAAATTACGATGTGCAAGTTGCAAGTTAGAGCCAAAGTATTTTTAGAATGCATAGACATACGTGTCTTTTTTCCAAGGTCTAATCTTGTATGCAAAAGATATATTTTATCAAGAAAAAATAAAATTATTTCGATCTAAAGAAATGATAAAATTTTTAATTTAATATATATAAGCCTACTTTCATTAATAAATCTACCTTTTATAATAAATATTACACGAAAATTACACGAAATTTTATACAGTACAATTGTACAATATAAAATAAAATTTTCTATTTTCATATATAATCTTACTTCGTAATTTAAATTGACTTAGTCATTAAAAAATTATACTTTTTAATATCTATTATCTTGCTATTTGTAATGGCAAAATTTAAAAATCAATGTACGCATTTGTCGCATATTAATTCTCAATTGTTTCACTCATCAAGCATGCATATCATTTCAAGCATAAATTGCTACCCGTTCATCTATCAGTCGTCAAAACATCTCATTTGTATTCATATCGTAAAACAAATATCAATTAGAAAAAGACAATTATCTAATTTATGCGGTGTGTTTGAAAAAATTTGTAGAGAAGTAGTTTACAACTCTACGATTGATTTTTAATAAACGATTTCAATTAGCATTCATTGAATGTAATATATGTACGTAAAATCTTAATTTTCATTGAAAAAATCTTGTGTTCTCACTCTCTCTGAATGCCTGCAATTCATAGTTAAAAATGAATTGAGAATGAGAATTCTAAAACAAAATATTCTACTATACTTTTCATTATTTCTTAGTATTTAAATTAAATTAATTTTTATTTCCATTTCGATGTTGCGAATTGACCAGGAATTAAACGATCTGCAATTAAAATAATCTCTAATAGAAAAAACAATAAAATTAAACGCAAGTGTAAATGTAAACTAAGTAAAAAAATTTGAATTAATGAAAAATATCTAAATTGGAATAATAATCGCAATTAATAAACGAATATTAATTTCATTTTTATAATTCTAATTTGTAAAATAAAAATATAATTTATATTCATCAACATCAAATAACAATATATAAATGTATTAAATCTCGTAATATAAATTCTTAGACTTATTAAAAAAAATTTTATGTTATAGATTTTAAATATATAAATATTTGATGTGTGTGCCAAAAATTAAAGTTCAAAAAACATTTGTAAATTGAAAGTATTAAATTATGTAGTAAACATCGACATGATAAAAGATGCATCTTCACCCGTGAGTATATAAATTTAATTGTGTACAAAATTTCTTAGATTTATAGGTGGAAATGTAATGAATAAAAATTAATAATTATTTTTCTTCTCTAAATGATAAATATTGTTATAAAAACACTTTGCACACTACCTTATTTACAGGACAAAATAGACCTATCAATAAAATATAAATTCACGCTAATAATTCTCCTTCGAATGTGATTCACTCTTTCACGCTTTTGATATGACTTGACCACAAGCACAATTTACATTTAAACGATGTGATAAAGAGAAGAAATTCTTTGCACTATTCGATACGATTTAGAAAGGTTTACTGACGTTTACCGCCACCGAATTTGGAAGAGAGGGAAAATGTACCGAACAAACTCCGAGAATAGCTATCCCCTCGTCTTCAACACCCTCCCACTCTGACTAGCAAACTATATATACACACGCACCGATCTGTCTGTTTCTCTCACTATCCCTTTCTCACTATCACTGTTCTTTCTGTCGCCATTTCTATTGTTCATTAGAGCTTTACGATTTTATTTAAATCCTCTATTCGTACTACAATGCCCGTCCAATTTTTATTCAGTCTAATGGTTAATACTTGAAACTCACGTGGAGTTCAATTTCATGAATTTAGGAATCTGATTACAATATATTGTATCATAATTAAATCTTATGATAGTTAAAGGAATTTTATAAAAATTTACGAGTTTAATAATTGTAATTTATCAATTCTTAAATTTATTTTATAAATTTTATTTTTATCTCTTTCCACATTTATAACGTGGAAGAGATTAAAGACATAATCGCGATTTTTATGATTTCCAAAGGGATAGCAGTTTAACTGTAGTAATTCATAATTATATAATCATAATTGTATGTATAAATGTAGAATTTTTATTTCTTATGTGTAGGTGCATGTAAATCATGCAACAATAGGAATCTTCTTTTATCAAATATAACATAAATTCTAAAGAAAATGCGAGAAAGTAGACATATTATAATCATTAAAAATATATTTAATGATCTTCTTATAAAATTATAAAACAGTATAAAAGCTTATCTTTCAAGCAGATGTATACAAATGTTCCATTTATTTATTTATTGAAAATATATAAAATGTATACAATTATGAATTAATAACATTTGCATAAGACTATCAATGCGAACAGAAACAGAACTTAATAGTAAGAATAGGATAACCATAAAGGGAAAAGAATATTCACTAATACCAATAAAGTATTTACTTAACTTATTGATATTAAATCTGAAACATTCGTTGAATTATCACTCTGTGAGCATGTTAAAAAAATTAAACAAATTAATGAAAATTATTAAATAATTTATAAACAATAAATGACTGTAAACAATATTATTTAAAAAAAAGAATACAAAATTTAACCTTTAATATCTTGATATTGTTTAGATATGTATTTGTAGCAAGAATTTCCAGTCTTAATGAAGTTAATACACAAGAATGTTGCCAAACTTATGTTTTCACTGAATTAACTGCTTTTTTTGCAGCTTCATCTAAATCATTTGCTGTAACAATTGGTAAATTGCTCTCTGCAAGAAGAACTTTTGCTTCTGTTACATTAGTACCTATTTTAAAAACAACAAAGTAATCATTAAATTATATGACAATAATAACAAACCATAAATAAATAATATTCTAAAATTGCTAAAACAAAATTAAATAATTATTAAAAACTAAATACGAAAATAATTACCTTCTAGTCTAACAACAAGTGGAATTTTAAGCTTTAAATTACGAGATGCTGTAATAATTCCTTTTGCTATTGTAGCACAATTTACAATACCTCCAAATACATTTACAAGAATAACTTTTACTTTTGGATCTAGAGATACAAAGACAATCAAAATTATTTTTATAGAAAATATGTAAATGCAATTTTGCAGATGTAATATTATATTTGATAAAATCATTAATTGGATTTCTTAATTTAGTTATGAATTTAGAAATATTTTTAGCCATCATATGAGGTATAGAAGATAACAAAAGTTTATCCTTTGCTATCTTTTTCAATTATAATAAAATCTATTATAAAGAAAAAAAATCTATTATAATACATACCTTCACTAAGAATTCTAAACGCTTGATAAACCTGATCCTCTTTTACACTTCCACCCACATCCAGAAAATTTGCTGGAGATCCACCATTTAATTTAATAATATCCATAGTAGCCATAGCCAAACCAGCACCATTAACTAAATATAATATATCATTTTGAATTCTACATTAATTAAAATAATTTTTTGTTCAAAATATTTTATACAAATTTTTGTAAATTAAGTAAAAATTAAGTACTAATTGTTTAAAAAATTTTGTATAATATTGTAGATATTATTATAACACTATAAACATACCCAAACATCCTATATTACCATCCATACCAATATAATTCAAATTGAATCGTGATGCATCTGCTTCCCTAGGATCTTTTGCATCACTATTCTCTAAGGCAAATAAATCTTGTTGCCTAAATTGAGCATTGTCGTCAAATGCTATTTTTGCATCTACTGCTATGACTTGTTTATCTATAGTTTCAACCAGTGGATTAATTTCAACTTGTAAAGCATCAATATCTACAAATAATTTCCACAAATTTTTTAATTCATATATTGCTTTTTCTTGTAGCGTTGGATCCACAAAACCAAGAAATATGCTAACATCTTTAGCTATCTCATCATTTATTCCATAATATATGTCAAGAGGTACGGTTTTTATTAACTCTGGACTTTTTTCAGCAACTGTTTCTATATCCATACCACCTGCTGGTGAAGCAATTAATACAGGACCATTGTGCTGCCTGTCCATAAGAATACAAATGTATGTTTCACGTGCAATATTTACAGATTCTGCTATCATAACTTTTTGTACCAGTATACCATCTTTTGATGTTTGTTTTGTGATAAGACGATGGCCTAACATATTTTTTGCAACATCTATAACAGCTTTACGACTATTAAAAATATTCAACAATGAATAATACACATATTTTTGTATTGTATGTTATATTATCTATACTTACTCTTTTGTAAGATGTACACCTCCTTTGAAACCATGATCAAACCATCCTTTTCCACGGCCACCAGCTAGTACCTGAGCTTTTATGACATACTCTTCTGCACCTACAAAAATAAGTAAAAATGAAATAAATGCTAATTAACATGAATAATACTTGTATGATTAACAGTCATAGATTGATATAAAATTAAACTAAAAAGAAATTAAATTTGGATTACAAAACACATTATACGCAAACTTGTATCAATAATTTATTATAATTATATACAAATAATAATTAAATAAATACTAACTTAATTTCTGTAATGCAGAATTCGCTTTATTTAAATCATCCACAATAGCAAAATTTTGTACAGAAACTCCACAATCTCTTAGGAGCTCCTTGCTCTGATATTCAAGTAAACTCAAATATCTAGCCTGTTCAATATTAAATTTTGAAACTTTGTTCAACATTTGTCTCGAACATAATTTCTGGCTTGTAAATCGCAACATATTTAGCCTTAAAAGTAAAACTTTACAAAATAACTGAAATATATTCTTCTGTGATATTTTCTCAAGACTATTTGCGAATCGCAGTCATTGGCATTCAAATACAATTTATCTCCGCAGAATGTATTTACAGCTTTTTAAGAGTTATCAACAAAATAAGAATTATCATATGTATCTTAAACATTATCATTGGTTTCTAAAATTAAACTACATGTTTTAATGAAACATTATCTAAAATATAATTATCTTTTATAACCTCTACATTGAAATAACTCTTAATACATACATATATATATATATGTATATGTATATAGACAATAAACTGATGTCTAAAAATTTAAATTTAAATAATGAAATAAATTTTAAATATAATTTCTTTAATATTTTGGTACTCTATATATATTTGTTTAAATTAATAATCATTTAATAAATTAACAATAAATATTTAATAAATAAAATAATAATAAATAAATTTAATTATAACTTTTTTATTTGAATATATAAACTTTAGAAATATTAAATCATTTATTATATATTAAAAATATGCAAAAATTATTCGTCTTTCAATTAAAATTCATTTAATGCACTTTTAACTCAAAATTTTTAATTATATAATTATATAATGTCCTACATAAGTTTTTGAAAGACTAAAGGATAAAAAACAAATTTTTCTTGTAAAAAACATATATAAGATTTTATTTATTATTAATGTATTAGTATAAAAAGCTATATACTCTATACTCACAAATTAAACATCCTTACATCAATGCAATGACAGCTACTAAAATTTATTATTTTGTATAATTTAAGTGTTTTAAGTTAAATGCAATTATACAAATAATAAATTTTTTACATAATTGAGTAACAGATGTTTATGCGCAACATGTTGACAAAATTCTCGTATGCATTGTTTTATATCATTTTATGAGATTCTTCTTAATGAAGTTTTTTGTTATTGTCTATACAAGAGTATAACATTAAAAAATATTAATATGATAATTATTATTTACACGTTATCATTTGGATATTCATTTATGGACGGATAGATATGATCTTTTGTACAAAAAAGTTCTTAATTAAAAAAAATCATTTGTTCATCATATCTCAATAATTCAAAAAAAATTTATGTCTGTATTATAGACTATATACTATATATATTAAATTATTTTTAGTGATAAAATCTTTACTGTGAGAAAATAATTCATTTATCTTGTTTCATTTAATACTTTTAAACAAATTACAATTTAATTGTAAATATTTAAAAAAAACAAGTCTTAGTTAAAAAATTGAGATTTTGAAATATATTTCACATTCATTCATGTTCATGTCAACATTATCATATCATTGTCAATTTATGACAATCATCTATTGTATTATCTAAAATTGATGATTGGGTCTCACTAGAAATTTGATTAATAAAGTATGATCGTTTGCACCAAATATTGCTCGACAAATTAATAGTTTACTGTTCTGTTTCTATTTTTTTCATAAAAATATTTACGCGTGCGAGCACACATACACACACACACACATACACAACGCTCTCTCCAATTTGTTACTAATGATTTAGTAGATCTGTGATATATAAAAAGTATACTCGTATTATATATATTCATAAATTCTCAATAATAATAACAATAATATACCTAAAGCAGCATCCAGAATTTTATTACCAGCACTGCTTCTAAAAGCAGCTGCATCACCCATTTGGAATGTATGAGTTGGACTTGACATACGTCCATCTCCTCCTTTGCTAAATGCAAGTACACGTAAATGGTATGCTTTTCCAGGACTGAGATTTGTAATGTAAGCTTCTAATTTCGAACCACCTGGTATAATGGTATCATTTGCGGTACTCATATCCTGATCTAATTCCCAAACACGTATTTTATAACCTATTAGTGGTTCTTCCTCTAAACTTGGTTGCACGTAACGCCAAACAACTCGAACTGTTGAAGGGTTTACTCCATACACGTTAACAGAAGATGGTGGTTTTTGCGGTGCTTTACGATAAGTTCTCTCTAAATATCGTTCACTCTCAGGTCCCTCTCCAGCAGTATTATAAGCCATTACTTTAACGTAGTAATAAGTATCTGGTTGCAAACCAACTACAAGAGCCCAAGGTCTCGCAGTTCGAGATAAATAATAAACTGCATCTTCCTCTTTATTACTTTCTTTCCAATATTTTATTCTATGGCCTATCAATTTGCCTCGTATCTTTTCACGTGTTTGTTCAATTGGCGACCAACTAACTTTCAAGCTAGTACTATTGTAGCTGTGTGCAACAACTTGCTGTGGAGCTACTTGGGGCATATCTTCAGCACTGAATATCGTAACTGCGTTAGAAATTGGTCCGAAGCCTAATGCATTAATGGCTTGAACTTTAACTTCATATTCTGTATAATAATATTGCTGTTGTATCTGAACAACACTTCTTCCAACATTGCCATAGTCTTTTAAAGATAATGACTGAAACTCGGTTTCGTGATGCTTTTGACGCCAAAAAACTTTATAGTAGATTCCTGGACCATTTTGTTCAGATGGCGGTAAAGGATCCCATGTTATTGTAAGATCTCCAATTTTTCCTCCTCCTCCACCTATATTAGATGGAACTTTCGTTGGTTTATCTGATGGTGTGCTATACTGTGGAGAAGGCGATGATGGTAAACTGTATCCTAAGTCATTAAAAGCACATACACGAAACTCATATGTAGTATAAGGATTTAAAACATTTTCCAAATAAGCTTCTTTTCTACCATTGTATCTATCTACTTCAACAGCAGTTATATCTGAAAAAATATTTATATTATTTATTACGATATTTCATATAATTAAAGATTATAAATAATTAATATCACACATACTTTCTATGATATTAAACCATGTATGATTCCAATTTGTTCTTGCGCTTACAATATACATAGTAATAGGTTTGCCATTGAAAGCACCATCGGTCCAGCGTAAAGTTGTAGAAGTTTTTACAATATTTACAACTTGTACACCACCAGGTGGTCCCGGCGGTCCTTCTATTGTAACTGTCGTTTTACTGGAAATTTCACCTACTGCACTTTTAACTATGCATTCATATTCTCCTGCTTCCGCAAATGTAGCATTTATTATGTTGAGTTCTTCTCCGTCAATATGTAATCTAGGATTGTTCATTAAATCTTCGTCTCTAATACGTAAACCATTATGTTTCCAAATATAAGCTACATCTAGCATTTCATCTACTTCCCCCATACAACGCAGTGTTTGATTTTGCATCACTGCGGTAGTAATGTATTGTGGTAATTTTTCCATGAATTGTGGGCCACCTTTAATTTAATAAAATCAATGTGTTAAACATAATGAAATATATAGTTATGTAGGATGTTCGTGAAATCATAAAATCATGATATCCTGTCTCCAAAAAGATGATTTCTCTAAAGATAAGTTTAAAATAAAAATTTTTAATTCAATTTTATTAAAAATTAAATACGTCTAATTTGATTTAATTTGTTATCGTTTTATGAACATCTTGTACAGAATGAAATATATAAATATCTTACGTAATACTATTAACCGTCCACGCGTTTCATCACTTCCATATTGATTTGTTGCAGTACAAATGTAAGTACCTTCATCATCCCTTGATACTGGAGAAATTATTAAGTTACCAGTTTCTAAAATTCGACGCCTACCACCAGAACCAATCACATTTCCATCTTTCTTCCACACGAATTTTGGTCTAGGTGCAGCTTCAGGATTGCAGTATATTGTGACATTACCTCTCTCTGCTGCGTAAGTTTCAGGTTCCATAGGTCGTTTTTTAAAAGATGGTTTCAATGCTAAAATTTTGAAATAATATATAAAAATAATAATTTCCAAATATGAAAATTATAATATCAAGTATATAAATAATAATTTACATAAAATTCGGAGTTGTGCGGATGAATATTTTGTTTTTAATTGATTTCTCGCACGACACTGATACATAGCTTGGTCTCGTTCTGGATCCAGATATTTTATACTTAAAACATTATCTTGTATAGAATACCGATCTCTATCTTCTGGAGGAAGCGTTTCCATGTTCAGTATTTCACCATTTCTAAACCAATTATAAGAAACATCTGGTATTCCAAATGCCTCACAAGTCCAAGTTAACTCTCCTCTATTATCCATATGTTTATCTGTTAATGGAATTGTGAAGTTCGGAGCTGCTTGAATAGTTAGCCTTACAGAATTTTCAATTGCCGATCTGTCATTATGTACTCTACAAATGTACTCTCCTTGATCATCAACATGTACTTTTGGAATTATTAATACGCGATTAAAACTAGTTGTGTATGACCCACGTGGCAGTGATGCACCTCTTCTTGTCCAATTGTATGATGGAATTGGGCTGTATTAAAAAATATATTATGTAATAAAATTACGTGCTATCTCAATTGTTGTTAACAAAAGTATCACAATTTATTAATTTAGATATTGTAATTTATTAAAAAAAAAAAATTAACTTACTATCCAAATGCAATGCATTCTAGTCTAACTTCCTCTCCTGCAATTGGAGCTTCTGGAAATGCCTTTGGGAAGTTATTGGGAAACTTTAATTGCTGAAAAGAAGCTAAAAATAAACAGATTCATCAAAAAATAAAATTTCAACTTGTAAAAGTATATTAAATTACAGATTGAAGAATAAAGAAAAATAATTACAATGTGGATCAACCCTCAAGGGGAAAAATGGTCCATTACGACCAGTATCAGAAGCAACACTCTGAACATTACAAGAATAATTGCCACGATCGATCATTTCCAATGCAGAAAAATAAAGTGCTCCATCATGAGAGACAAAAACACGTTTATCTTCTTCTACGAAATTGGGGAAATAATCACGTGCCCAATAATATTTGACTCCTGGAAAATGCTGTGGTGGATCGCAATATACAGCTTTACCCCAATTTTGTTCCCCACGTTCTTCTGAGCGTTTTAAATTAAATTCTAAAATATATCCAAATGACAGTTCCACACTTTCAGATATAATTGTACCAAATTTATTTGTTGCTTTGCAATGGTATGAACCTCTGTCTTCTGCCTAAAAATGATTAGTTAGTATCATCTAAACTATTTTCTTTTAATGCATAAGTTTTATACAATTATTAAATTTAATATACAAATATTATTTACCTGATCAGGTTCATAAATAATTAAAGTACCACCACTGACTGTATATCTAACATTATTTAAAGGATCTATTTTTGTTGCAATCAGTCTATCATTTTCATAATCTTCTTTGAACCACTCATATGTTGGTGCAGGAAAACCACCTGCTAAACAACTTAGTGTAACATCATTGTTTATTTTTCTTTTTGACAAGTCAAATACTTTATCAGTAGGTTGTTTAATGAAGTATGGTCCTCTAGGAATTTCATGGGGATTATCAATTTCAATACCATACTGATAAGTACGATCATCATCCACTAAGTTATGTAAGTTAGAAATTGGTGCTTCACAAATATATAACAACTTATCTTTGCCAGTTACTTTTTCCAGTCCCCATCTTTGTAAATTATTATGGTAAGAATACACTAAATAATCTCCACCAAATGTATTATCAATTGGTTCAGGTAGAAATGCATTATCCATATTTAATAATTGAGTACTATCAGCTTCATTTAGCCAATTCCCATTTTGGTATTTTATACCAGTATACCATTTGCGATGTTGTGGATCTTGCCATAATAACTGATATAATATAAATCCATGTTCTTCTAAGGAATTAATTGTAACAAGATCACTTTGATAAGCTTCACAATTTCTTCTTGCTTCTTGTCTGTTTCTGATAGGACTCTTTATAAAACGATAACATGATTCTTGAAATTTTATCCAATGTTGTGGACATTGGTGATATTGTTCCCCATATAAGATGTTTTGTGCAAATGTATTACTTGACACAATGAGAATATATATTAAAATCTTTGGTACATAATACATCATTATTTTAATATAATTGATTGTAATCTGAAATAAAAATATATTTTTTATGAATCCAATCATTTCTTCTTCATCAAGAAATTAAGTAATAAAACATAATATATCTCTGTTAATCAAATGACTGTCAAATATTTGAGTCTTTTTATCATAAATAATATCAAGAAAAATATGTAAATGTTATGTTAATTTCTATATTATTAATCATTTCCCACCTTTCTTTAATGTTTAATGTTTAATTTTAATTAATCATACATAACAAGAATAACACAAAAGATTTAAGAAAAAATAATTAGTAACTTCAACAAACAGTAAAATTCAAAAAAATTTAATTGCATGACTGCACATTATATGACCACATAAGCTAGGGAGTGGCACTATAATCTTCAGATAACTTTAATGTAATATTTAATATAATATAGACCTTCGACTTTTGAAATTATATTACTATTAACTGTCTATTACCTTTAATCAATTTCCATTTACGTATGTAACATCATAAATTGTTATTTAACAATCGTAGAAATCAGCGTCCTTATTGTTGACACAACACATGACAAAATGTACATAAAGCAGATATGACATCAAAATTATGCTTCAGGAAATTAACCACAAATTTTAATCTAAAGTATAAAATCCGAGTTGTACAAAATAAAACTGTTTGTTCTATAAACTTCGATATAATAAGTATTTTATTACACGTGTAATTAATTCACACTGTACAATAATATATCATTGTATACAATCCTATTTCATTAAGAACAAACCTTTAGCATTGCACGCTTCGATTCGTTACCACATAGGGTGGGGTCCTTTATATAGTTACGTTCCTTTCTATTTACGTAAATTGTACTTTTGAGAAAATGAGATTTCGTGTTTTGTTTTTTTTTTTTTTGCTCGATTTATGTTTAATTAAAACACAGCAATCATTGTCTACCTAAGATTAATTTGATTATATATATTTCAAATTTAGTAAAGATATAAAATTTACATAAGCGTACTTAAGTTTTTAATATTATCAACAATTGTTTTATTTTTTAATAAGATTTAAGGATAGGAATTTGAAATGTACATTGACAAGCAATAAGATATTTATTTAGACAAAATTACCGTCCTTTGCATGAGCATATATTCATATGTATATATGTATATAATAGTATTACATCGTGTACACAAAATTTAAAGTTTAGAAAGGATATTCGGGATGACGTTTTATGCCCTTGAACATGGTAAAGTCACAAATTCTGCCAACTTCGTGAAGATCGAGATTTGATAATTTTTCCATATCCTCCGATTTAAGTTCCCAACTGAATAGTTGTATATTTTCCTTAATTCTTTGAGAGTTCGTACTTTTAGGGATAACTGCGATTCCATTTTGTACAATAAATCGTAACAAAATTTGTGCAGGTGATTTCTTGTAACTTTTTGCTACTTCTAATACAACATCGTTTTGTAACATATCTGGGATTTCTTCCAATTTTTTTAGTAATTTCACAAGACCGCGTGTACCAAGTGGAGAATATGCTGTTATAGGAATGTTTTGCTTTTTACAGAATTCTACCTGTAAAATATCATTTTATTTTATACTAAACAATTTTATAATAAAAAATATTCAAAGAAAAAGGTGTCTTACCAAATGCTTCTGTTGTAAGTAAACATGTAATTCAACTTGCAACATCGATACTTTTATCTTCGAATTATTTAAAATTCGCGTAATTTGGCGAACATTAAAATTTGATAATCCGATTGCTTTGGCTCGTCCACAGTTGACTTGTTTCTCCATTTCAGCCCAAATTTTCACGTGATCTGTACTGAGATCAAGTTTAATTTCTCCATTTTCATCCACAGGATGAAGATCTCCGTCGCTTACTTTTTCAAATGCGAAAGGAGTGTGAATCAAATAAAGATCTACGTATTTTAACTGTAAATCTTTTAAAGATCTTGTTATCCATTTTTCAACATCTTCCGGTCTGTTTCCGGAAGGAGGAAGCTACAAATATGACAATTTTTAACAATCCTTTGTTTATTAATGATTAATTTCTATTATTTTTGTTAACATTATTTTTACGTTATGATTCTAATAAATTTAATATGATCAATATTACCTTTGTAACAATGAAAATATCAGATCGCTTAATTTTTCCAGAATCAAACCATTTTTTGAGAACCTGACCAATTATCTTTTCATTTTCATATACTGGTGCTGTATCAATATGTCTATATCCTGCCTCTAATGCAATGTCCAATGCTTTCTGTAATTCCTCTTCTTTTGCCTTAAATGTTATTTAAAATAATTAACAATTATTTTTCTTAGAATAATTGACAAAAATGACAGAAGTATATACATCGTATATTTGCTATTGTAGAACTATTAATAAAACTAACTATTAATAGAACTAACTATATCCTGATCATTAAGAAATACTTATAAATGCATAGAGATATGAATTATAATCATTTTACTTTTTCCTTGTGTTATTTTAAGAAGCATTATATCATTATATTACGTATTACATCTTACGTATTAAATCTTTCAACAATCGCTTGCATACACTGTATATAAGGAAGTATATAAGATCATTTAAAACATTTTTATTTTGTCGATTTATAGTAATAAGTAAATCTCATTAAGTATAAGTAAATCTTATTATATTTTTATATTTTCGTACACAATCATATAGTGTATAATATAATAATAATTAAATGAAATATTAAATTAATAATTTTAGACGTATTTTAATATTGTGATAAAAATGGTGTTTGATAGAATTGTGTCATATATGCGCATATGTCTATTGTGTTTCATTTCCGTGATAGATCTACGATTAAACTAAACAGTCCCTGCAAAAAAAGTTTTGTTATTATATTTTATTCAAATTTTATTTAAAAATTGATCTTTCCTTCATTTTAAAAGATGAGTGAATCAAGATTATAATTGTTTACAAAAAATAACCTATTACTAGGTAAGACATAGTATTTTCATATATCATTTACTTAGAAAAATTAATAATAATATTAATAACAATGTTAATAGCTCTTTTTTGCTATTGTTGTAAAAATATTTAATTTTTAAAATTAAAAGAATGAGTTATTAATACTTGTGTTTTAAACTGTGAGGTTAGAAATTGTTAATTACATATAAATTGATGTAATTGTAATAATTTTAGTTGAAAATATGTAGATACAAATAAAATAATATTGATTTTAGGTTTAAAGTAAATCTGTTCATATCAATATATCAAATTATTTAATTACTTGGATGTATATTTTATTTTCATATGTATGATAAAATATTAATTATTAATATTTTTGTTTAACTCTTGTATTTGTTATGACATTTATACATATAAATTAAAAAAATTGAAAGAAATCTTTTTTATGTATATATTTTTAATGTTGCTTCAAAACCATTAGCAACAGGTTGTAGTCAAAATAGATGCATATATTAATTCTTCATGCTTTCATTATGTTGTTAAAAAAAGAATAACCTTTCAATCTAAGCAAATTGATTTATAAATCTATGATAATTAAGATTTTTTATCTATTTATTTATCTAAAATATATTTTAATTCCTAATACATATAAATTTTTGCTATTTTAAAATTATTTATAACGAAAAAAATAAGAACAAAATTGTTAAAATATTGAATCCCTGTTCTTGTAATGTTTAACAATAATAAAATGAATTTACAGTTTTATATTATGAAATTAAATGAAATTAAATATACAAACTCCAAAGAAAGTATTTAGAAATTAAATTAAATTAAATTAAATATGCAAACTCAAAAGAAAGCATTTACGTTAGAAATAGAACACGCGTAACATTTAAAAATGAATTGTAGCTAATTATACGAATGTCATCTTAATATTTTTGCGTCTAAATATTTAATGATAGTGTTATGTTAAAAATACTTTTTTTACAAAAATTTTGTAATTCCTGCATATATTAAATAATTTTACCTGCCATGTGCCAAAACCAATTATTGGCATTAATTGTCCGTTTGGAAGAAGAATAGAATTATTTTCCATTGCGCTCATGTATACACTAAGAACTTCTTAAGATAACTGAATAACTGGAATACCGACTCCAGCCTTTTAAAACCAGCAGCACTTTCTCTTTAAGTATTTGTGCAGGATTTTTACAGTTTTTAATCCAGGCAATCTAGCATTATTTTCAAGGTAATAATAATCATTTATCGTTTAATCATAAAAATTATTTTACTAATAAATATTTATGTAAAATGTTTGACATTTATCTTTCATTTATAAGATTTTTAAAGAAATTATGAAAAAATGTAAAGTAAAGAATAATTGTTTATTGATATATTCTTAAATAATTCAGAAAATAGTTAAATTCGACTTTTTTTTTGGTTTAATCTTGCTGCAATTCTTGAATTTTTATATTTCAATTTTACATTTAGTTTAGCAAACAGAAAGTTTGCTAATTCATATTTTAAAAAGATGTTTAATATAAAATTTAATTGAAGAATCTCACGAATACTAATAAAAATTTTTTCATATTTCGTTTAACTTAAAATATTTTTCAAGAAATGTAAGTAAGTCGAATTTCGGAAGACTGCAATAAAGTTAAAATTACCTAAATTTAAAGTTTATTACAGAAATGGTTACACTAATTTTAGTACTTTTAAATAATACTTTCTTAGTTGCAGATATGAAAAAGACGAAAAGAACGTAACAAACGTACAAGATAATGTATCGATGTGTAAATTGTGGAGCTAAAGTGGAAGAACTTTACAGGAGATACTGTCCGAGCGTTCTCAAACTTTTAAAATGTGTATGTTATATATTATATAAATTTTTTTTTCTTTGCAGAAATATAAAATTAGTTTTATGTCTCAAACTAACTACGAAAATTTTATGTATAATTTTACAGAATAACGTTCCAACTTCAAACTTTATCTAAATAAAATTTAATCTAAACTTTCAATTATTTAAAAAAAATTTACATTATTGCACGTTTAACTATTTTAAACGCAGAATACCTAGAATGGTACGAAATATCTAAATACCCAAAATTTAAATTTAAAAAATTTTTAAAAATCTCTAATAATAGAAGTTAGCGATACATAATGATTAAATGACTTTTCAGGATAGCATATTAATTAGACCAAGTGAAATCGTATGATCTATCTTGTGATCTGTTTGTATTATGGACATATTTGTACATATTTGTATAGAAATGAAACAAGCACGATGCTATTATATATTCCATATCTCGTTTCTTTTTTTTTTATATTTCATGCTCAACAAATTAGTGAGCTTCTATTTGCAACCTATTTTTTCTTTTAGCTTACTTGCACTGATGATTTTAAGCAAACAAGACATCTCTTATTTTCTTATCTCATTCAATCTCTTATCTCGTTTGTTTGATTTTGCTCTTCAGAAAAACTTTTCCCTTTGAATATCAGATATTTTCTTTTTATGTTGGATTTTTTAGATTTTCTTCTTATCTTTGTTTAAACTTTATCGAAGTACAGTTTTATCTCGAACAGAATTCTGTCATGATTTAGAATTGTAAAACTTATTAGTCGACTTATATATATATATATATAATAATATAAGTATAAATTTTAAGGCGACGATCCAGTCTGAATTGAAAGCATTGAATGATAAGCACAGTTTTTCTTAATTCTATATAGTTCTTAATATATAACAATACAACTTGAGGTACAAAGTTGAAGGACACTTTTATGGTCTTGGCTACGTAATTTTAATTTATGATCCATTAGAGTGCAGCGTTAGCTGACCGTAGCTTGGGACAATCTCTAGTCAGCTATCAAGGTCAAGGGACGTAAAATTCTTCTAGGAGAATCGGAGTATTCTTTTTTTTTCCTTTGAGTATTTTATTGAGTATTTATATATATATACCAATATGTATATACCTGACACGAAGTTAAAATAAACATGTAGGTGCCCCTCTACAAAGTTCCAAGAATTGGTGGGGATAGCGACCGTCAGCTAACACGGCAAAGTCCCAATCAGCTAATGCGGCACTATCGTATACATATCGTTTGAACCAACTATGTAACAGATTTAGACGGAGTGGATAGGAAGTGAAGAAAAGAACCGAAACGATTGTGCTTTGATGCAGACGAACATATTGATGCTCAAGTGATAACAAGAATAGAACTTGTCGAACTTTTGATCAGTTTAATTAAAGACAACTTATTCAAAGTACATGATGTCATCTTCTTCTGGTGCTAACATAAGCATAGCAGATCGGTTAGAAATTTTATCAAAATTAGAAGATGGCATGACAGTGAGTGGCATCGCCTGTGAATACGGGCTAAGTAAAAGGACTATACGACGATACCGGCAGAATTCAAAAGAGATTCGCAACTTCGCGGCAAATCCAAAGCACCGGGAGATGAAGAGGCAACGGAAATCAACATACACAGATATGGAGACCAAATTGTACAATTGGTTTCTGCAAAGGAAGTTATTAGGAGACTGTTTAACAGATAATATCTTAATTAAAAAAGCCAAAGAGATGGAGACAGAGTTTGCTGGCACGTCGAATTTTAAAGGAAGCCGGGGCTGGCTTTGGAACTGGAAGAAGAAGTATGATATTGATAAGAAAACGACGGATCCAAACGAAATCGCCGCGAATAATTTTATACGTGAATTTTTGCAAACGTTAGTAAAGGAAAATATAAACGAAGAGGATGTATATAATATGGACGAGACTAGTTTACTTTGGAGGGCACTTCCGTGGAAGACTTTAGCCCACGAAGAGAAATGTTTGATTATTAAAGGAGAAAACGGAAAGACAGACATAGTGACTGTCGCATTTTGCGCAAATACCAGCGGTACACATAAATTGCCGTTACTCTTTGTAAATAAATTTGCTAATCCTCGAGCATTGAAACATTGCAAGGATACACTATCGGTGGTATATAAAAGTCACCCTAATGCTTGGATTAACGAAGATATATTTCGAGAATGGTACAATAATCATTTTAAACAATGTGTAAAAGAACGCCAGTTACAGGAACAACGTGAAGGAAAAGTAATATTGCTCGTTGATAATTTCAAGGCCCATAAACTTGAAAAAGACGAACTGGACGATGGGCATTTTGTGTTAATGTTTTTACCACCGAATACTTCTTCGATGATTCAACCTATGGATCGAGGTGTAATTGCCGAATGTAAAAAACTATTTCGGCATAAACTGTTTCATCAGGTATATTTTACGTTTAATATTTCGCTTAAAACAATTCAATTTTTCTATGTGCATACTATATACGTTTCTTTCCACAGGTACTTCAAGTACTGCAATATGATGACGGTCTTACACAATTTTATGCTGATTACGATATTAAAGATTGCATCAACTTCATTAGTGAAGCATGGAATGATGTTACATTGCAAACCATACGTAACTCATGGGCGAAAATTCTTAACCGCCAGATTGAACTTAATGATCTTAAAATAGAGAATCCTATAGACTCTGATGAAAAGAATGCGGAACAATCGTTCAATGTAATGTCTGCCGAAGAAATAACAGAATGGATTTCCAGATGCGAACAAGTTGAAATAATTCTCGAAGAAACAGCAATTGAAGGAGAAAATAAATCACCATCTCCCCCTCTCATAGGGGGCGAAGAAATAGATCATCTACTGTATAATTTAAAAACATTGAGTAAAATCGAGCCAGAAATTGAGGCCGACGCAAAAAGAATAATAGATTGTTTTAATAAAACTGAAGAAAGATAATATTGTTTCTGTTATAGATGTAACCGTTATTTTTACAGAAGTACTGTATCATTTAAATCATATATAATATACGCCATATTGTCAAGATTATTTCTATACAGCTATTGTTACATACCCTTATTCAGAGCTTCCAAATTTCTATATTCTTTTATTACGATAATTAAATATTTAATATTTATACAATATCAAATATATGTATTATATTGTAATATAATATGCCATTATACGTTATTTAAAATAACAAACGATATAAATTATCGCTTATTCCTTCTGTAATATTCGTTGCACTTCTATCTTTCTTTTTTTGTATTTTGTTATTACCTTTGTAATAAAACGTTTATAATAAAATTATATAAAAATTTTTTTTATTTTTACTTCTATTTACGTATGTAAATATCTAAATATGGATATGAGCTGATTCTTATACAAAATTAAATATATTTTATTTACATTTCAAAAGTCAAGTTTTTGGAACTTTATACTGTAAAATATCTTTTACCACAAAAGAAATGAATCCTCCTTTGATTAATAATATCTAATCGATTTTTATTCATTTCAGGAAACGTGTGATCTCTTGGCAGATAAATACATTGAGTACGATCCAGCAATAATTTTAGTTGACTTAATATTGCTTAAAAGACAAGCATACAGACATTTACTTTATAACTGTGATATAACGTCTTGTTGGAAATTAGTAATAATCTTGTGGCTTATTGAATCTTTCCGAAATTTCTTTCTATGTAACAATAGCAATCAATATATTCAATATTGGAAGATATTTCAATCTAATGTTAATGGAGAATGTAATCTCTATTTAATATTATTCAATACTGCTTTTGCTCTTGCGACTTTCGCCTTTACCATAATTTTCTGTACTAAAGTGAAATGGCATCTTTATCCGAATAATCCAAACAAATGTAGTGTAATACAGTTAATGAAAGCTTTAATCATCGGTGGATCTGGAAAATTATTAGGATTATTGGAAATTACTTGGGGACATATTTTTTTGACACCCCATTACTTGCTTATATTGGGATATACTCTTCTTTGTTTACTCGCAGCCTATTCAGGTAAGAAATTTGTATATATAACGAATCTTTTTAATAATAATAAAACTAATAATCGAAAACATCCATATATTATTCATTTGATATCGTATCAATGAATAAGTTGTTTTAACTAAATTATGAAATTGTGGCACTTCTACATATATAACTATGATTTATTATTGTATATGTGATTAAAGTAAATTATTTATAATTATTATTAATTTATCTATGTTATGTAATTTCAGTGGCGACTAATAACAAAAAATTGGAGTCCTTAATAATTTTGGGAATAGGCATACTTGTTTACAACTATGCATCTAATTTTTCCTTCACAATATTTGAAATTTTAAAATTAGTTTAATCATTTATTTTCAATCGAATTTGATTTTATAATCCTATTCACTATAATATAACATTAAACTAAATAAATATATTTACGATATATACATATTTAACATTCCTTAAGAGGTACAATACTCCATCCGAGGACTAATTTATCAAAACCACAAGAGAACAAATTACAAACTCCGCTATCTTCAGCCCAAGTTACCGACGAGACCATCCTTCGATGACCCTGAAATTAATTTCAAGATCAAATGTGGTTTGCCACTACGAATTAATATTTACTGGACTTTTTTTTGCTCTAAATAAAAAATATCGTATACAGATTTTTTTAAAGAGATTAGCCATTAAACTTTAAGAGAAACTTTGGGAAAAATATCGCACAAAGTTAAAACTGATTCCTGAATAACTATAGTATTTCATAAATTTGTAAAATTATGATAATAAAGAATATGTAAATCTTATAGAATATATGATGAAATTTTCTCTCACCTGTCTGCTAGTTCTTGGCAATCTAGCTAATCGTTGACCATTAAGATCAAATAATCTAATTTGTCTATTATCATGTGGAATTGCAACAGTACCAGTGCTTGATACTGCTAATCGATTAGCGGCACTATCGCCTCGAATTGTAGCTAAAGGACTCCGTATATTTCGTAATTCCCATACTTTTACACTTCGATCATCCGAACCGGAAACGATTTTATCTTCACGCGTGAAAACAGCCGATGTCACAGTTCTGTAAAAGAAGCAACAATTGAGGACCTTTCATTTTACACGATGATTCATTATTGATTATTACTTACTCAGTATGCGCTTGAAAAACGGAAACTGAATGGATGGGCTCTCTAAAATCCCACAGACGAAAAGTACTGTCCTTACATGAAGTAACGCAGAGTCGTTGCGTATGATGACTTGATACATGCAAAAGTTCTTGATCGTGTCCACATAACGTATGAATAACTTCTCCAGTTTCTACATCATATAGGTTCGCGGTTCTGTCCCAAGAAGCAGTGACTACTTGTTCTGCATCAGGTAACCAATCTGCAGCCATTACGACAGCCCCATGTCCTAATAATTCTCGTATCGGAGTTCTATAATATTTTACAAAGTAGTATACATACAGAAATGTGTATTTTTTATTTAAAGTTACGCAAGATTAATTTTTTGTCATATACATTAAAGTACAATTCTGATTAAATATTTAATATGATAATAAGAATGATAAGGAAATCCGAATTGGCCTTTTATAAATATTACCTTAATGTAGGAGCTTCTTCCTGTTCTTCATTCAAAACAGTTATACCGCTGAGATTTCTTTCAGAACTCAAACATGAAAGATCTTCAGATGAATTTTGTCTTTTAGGCAAATCCCAATCTACCGCAGCTTGCCATACATGAGCAGAACTATCTCCACTTGATGTAAGGACCAAATCTTTGGTTGGATGGAAACGTACAGAGTTAACAGATCCAGAATGACCTATAAATTAAATGAGAAATATTTTGTGTGTAATATATATTTTGTAGAATGATAATAAAAAAAAAATAAAATAAAAAGAAAAACAAACCAATATACTGTAGTAAACAACGTCCACTGTCCACGGCCCACACTCTAGCAGTATAATCAGCAGAAGCTGTAGCAATAATTTGACCTGATCTTCCAACAGAAACTTCCCAAATACCATCTCTATGTCCAGAATATTCCCTTTGCATACTACATGTCATAGTTGGTGTTTTAAAACTAGAGACTATTTTACTAGTCTGTGCTTTTAACTTATTAGAAGTTGTTTTTGTTTTTGGTGCTGCCATAGCTGCAAATATGATATATTTTAATATAAATGAAAGAGAAAATATAATTTTTATTAAACATTTTTATTAAACAAGTCCGAATTTGTAATAATAAATACTCTTACATTTTTGTTTGGAAAGACTTTTTGTATCTGGAAAGTCTGCAACATCTCCAAGATGTAAGCTGCGTTCTCCATAACATTCTCTTTCAAGCCTCTCATTAAGAATATCTATTTTCTCTTGTACTAGTTTAAAATTCATTAAAAATTATTTTTTTGATATTAAATTCTATAAATAATGGCTGAAAGCTTTATTAAGAATATTAATGAATACATACATCCTAAATTTTCTGTGTATAGAACTTCAAACTCTTTTTCTATTTGTTGAAATAATTCAAAAAGTCGACATCGTAAAGTTGGTGGTAGTACACTGTCATCAGGGTCTGTACGAAAAGCTGCATAATGAAGTACAGTCGGTTGCAATGGAGTAGATCCACTTTGTGATTGCAACTCTGTATCTGTACTACTTTGTACTCTTGGAATAGAAATGCGCTTGATTTTCCCAGAACTCTTATTTCCACTGGTTATAGATGGTTCCCCAGGCATTTTTGATTCTTAAAAATCAAGAATGATATACCTGTACTATCCTGTTTCAATATTATCAAATAATTAAATAAATAACTAAATTTTAAATTTATAACACGATAAAATTATAATAAAATTAAATTACAGCAACAAAAATACTTGTTTAAAACATATATAAAGAGTGAGCAATTGTATCACTGTACATTTAAATAGAATAATTCTCAATACTAGACATACTAACCACTTAGCTAATACTCACGTACATTTTAAACATTTCGGAATTTATTGAAACTAATTGTAATACTGAGTTTTGATAATTGAAACAAGTCTTATTCTAATCTTATGTTTAAATTTACAATAATTTTTAAAGTAATATTCATAATATCCAGATGGTTAACTGGGTTTCTCTTACCATAGGACTCTACTTCGCAGTTGATGGTTCGTCGGTACCTGTTTGACAATTTAAATTATAACGTCTAAACTAAAACATTTGGAAGTTACTACCAAATCTAATAAAAATATAGAAAGGCAATTTACACATGACATAAAACAAAATCGAGTGGCAAGTTCTGAATTGATTTCGAACGTCATACCATATATGCATGTAGTATACGGTCAATATACGTACATAGAACAAGTTTAAACAGAATAAAAACACGACTAATAAAAAGGAATTTATAAAAATTAAAAAATAGAATGATAATTGTACATAAGTATAATGTTATAAATTCAACTGCCAAGTTTAAACTATCGGAAAAGCCGTGTATTATTATTATATTATTAATAATATTTTCGACTTCTATAATATATATTATTTAATTGTAAAAATTTAAAAAAAATGTAAAATGTAAAACATTTTGAAAACTGGTACAAAGATACACTGAAATAGTATTCTAATTTTTTATTATTTTGTATTGGAATTGTAACTCTACATCTTGTATCGTGTATGATCAAAATAAAATCACAAAACTTTGAAACAGTAGAAATTTTTTAATCTTATTTTTATAAAAAAATTTATGTTCTTAGTACATCATATAGTATTAAATTTTATTGCATTACACTCTTTTTTGTATTAATACAGATAAAACATCAGGTTAGAGGATTTGATATTTGCATGTACAATGTACTTTTTGATATTGATTTATAATTTATATTGTAAAATTTATTGTATCTTGTGATGTAATATAATTGAATTGACTTTTTAATATATTTTATTGTAAATAATTGTATCGAATAAATTAATTCTTAATATTTTTCTTTAATGTATTCTTTTTTTTCATTCAAGGTTATATAGTAACTTTCTTTGAGGTTATACGTCATTTTTTTTATCGAGATTATTTTTACACGATTATATGTACGAGTATATTAAACTTGCTAATGACACATATTTTTTAAATGTTTTAATACTTTGATATATGTAATAAACATATTCACAATTTTGAATTTTAAGTGATGTGATTATAAATTTAATGAATTGTAAGAAATATGAATTGTATTCTATCATAGTCATAAGCTTTTGAAATATTATAAATTATTCAAATTGAATTTTTTTTTTCAATTTAAATTTTCAATATATTGTCTGATAATATTTATAATATTTATAAAACTATGAACAAAAAGAAAAACCAAGAAACTTTGGAGAAGGAACAGCTTCAATTGCTCAGCAAAACGGTAAATATACTTAATATAATTATTTTGTTTAACAAATAAATATAATTAAAGAATATTATACAATAGAAGTATTTAGAAAATATTTAATTTTATAGTATAAATACTCTATAAATAACATTTTTGTTAGGAGCTGATAGAAAAAATAATAAAATTGGAAGAAGAAAATAAACAACTGAAAGCAGTAAATGAAAAATCAAAGAATAAAAATACTATTCGTAAATTACAAAAACCATTTGACTTTTCAAAGTATATAAACATATATATAGATAAATAAAATAAAATAAATAATTTTTACATAAACTTTACTCAAATTTTAGATGCAGTAAGAGGCATATTCTTTTGAAATTTTACTATCTTGGATGGGATTATAATGGTTTTGTTGTACAAGAGAGCATTGATAATACAATTGAGGAGCACTTATTTGAGGCATTAATAAAAAGTTGTTGTATAGAATCGCGTGAAACATCAAATTACCATAGATGTGGAAGAACAGATAAAGGTGTCAGTTCATTTTCACAAGTGATTTCCATAGATTTAAGGAGTAAATTAAATCCAGAAGATCAATATAAATTAGAAGATGAACTTCCATACTGCAAAATATTAAATAGATTACTTCCTTCTAATATAAGATGTATTGCGTGGTGTCCAATACCTAGTGATTTTTCAGCAAGATTTAACTGTAAATTTCGAACATACAAGTACTTTTTCCCAAGAGGAAAGTTAGACATAAATTTAATGGATAAAGCTGTTAAATATACTATAGGAGAGCATGATTTTCGAAATATTTGTAAAATGGATGTTGCCAATGGTGTTATTAACTATCTAAGAAAAGTTATCAATGCAGAAGTATGTATGTATCGTCGAGATTTTAGAAATGTTTCAGGTAATTATGGCACCTAAATCATATGTAATTACTTTTAATGTTCATGAAGTTCAATATTGTTTAAGATTATTATGTTTATTTATTGTTAATGACATACATGTCATTTTGAAATTTTTATTTAAAATTAGTTCTTCTAAAATTTGGTCTCATAAGATCTTTTAAAAATTTATGTTCGTTTACGAAATTGCAAAAGTTATATGTAATATATTTATTTATAGGATATGATGTGTGCCAATTAATTATAACAAGTCAAGCATTTTTATGGCATCAAATTCGGTGTTTAATGGGTGTTTTGTTCCTTATTGGTCAAGGAAAGGAAGAGCCTGAGATTATTTTAGAGCTTTTGAATATTGAAAAATATCCTAAGAAACCACAATATAATTTAGCTCATGAAATACCATTAAACCTTTGGTATTGTGAGTATGATACTAAGGAATGGTACATTGATAAAAATGAATTAATAAATACAATAAAATTTCTACAAAAGGATTGGACTTTGAATACGATAAAGTATATATAATTTTAATAAACTGTAATTTTAATTTGTTAATAATATATGACCTTATAAACAATTATATTGCCAATTCAAGCTTTTTTATATAAAAAATAATATAATTTCAGGTCAGTCATGATTGAAAATATGTTATCAGATTTGGAAGATTCAATAGACTGTAAAGATATATTTTTTCAAAGCGATTGTTTATTACTTGGTATACAACCTAGAATGTATCAACGATTAATGAAACGACCCACTTGTGGTTAGTATTCGAATAATTTTTCTATTTTCAATGTTTCCAGAAGAAATAATTATATTAAATGTACAATTTTTCTTGTAGAGAGTTTGGAAAGTAAAATAAAACACTACGAAAGTAAGAAAAAGAAGAAAGAGAAGCCAGAAAAGAACGATGATAAATAAATGTATCAATTTGTTTAACAATAAAATATTTTAATTTTGTTAACTTATACGTACTTTATGACACATAATGGCCTTGTTATATTCCTAGCCTTGTTTGATCCTGTCTCATTTCCTTCTAACACACGCATTAAACGCACTAAAGACACTAAAAACATACACGAAGCATAAGTTCAATGGTGCAACGTCCTTGCATACCAAGTTATTTTAATACTGGCAGCACACTTTTCATTCAAAGTACATTAAAATGGCGACAAAAAATTGTACATCAACTTTTAAGGGATGTAAAAATAGATGTAGGTTATTGTCCTACGTTCCTAGATCCAAATCCATGATCAAATTCAGCGATTTGAGTTGCGAAAAATGCGCGTATTTCACAAAATTGTTCAATTTCGTAATATTTTTTGGAGGAAAGTCCATTTTCAAGGAAAATTAATTCATAGTAATATGAAATTGGCAATTGTCTTTCAAAACGAGCTCAAATGAATTGATGTAACGATTTTCTTTTCTGAAATTATAACAATTCAAAATTACTTATTAGTTTACGTGGAAATGATTGATTAATGACGTTGATCTAACTAATTAATTAATGAAAAGAAACACAAGATAAAAATAATCGTAGCTGTAACATCATGTAAAAATTAGCATTTTTTAAATAGTTTCATATTATTACATTCCATGTACACAGTAGAATTATATTTATTTAATTACTGCTCGATTAATTAAACTCCTAAATTTATTCTATTTATGCACGTGAATTTCTATTAATAAAATAGAAAATTTTGGCTAAAATCCAGTTAAAAAATACTCTAGTTCACGAATCTAAACAAATACAGTTTTATTAAAATTATTTTACGTATTAATACATTTCATTAAATCGTAAATAGAAAGTGATCTTCTATTTCTTCTTATATGGGAAATCAAAAGAATTGGAAACAAAATTTATTGTGAAATTGATCGCATCGGTCTGACAGCAGCTTTAGCTTTGTTTTGGTCTCTGGTTCGATCCATAGGACCGGAGGAACATGCGCTTTCGTGTCTTCCGATTTCATGCTTGCTTCATACTTCATACTTGATGCACTTCTCGGCATTATTCCTTTCAAGTTTGCGTTTTGTTGCTTTCGTGCTGCTTATTTCTATCATGGTTGTGAACAACAGAACGTGGGAGGCTAATGAAAGAGTCTCGTAATTGATTCTAAAATGATTAGTTGATCCACTAAAATTAATTTGATGAATGGTAGTTTGAATAAACTACCGAAAACTGATATCTAGAAAGGTATGTATTTCATTCCATATTATATTTACGAAATTGCAAATATAAGATTCTACATTCATTTGATTTTTTTATTTAATTAACTTATAAAATTGTCTCCGAAAGTATCTTTCATGAACTCGAATTCTTTTTAAAATTAATAATTTTATTTGAATTTTAAAAATGTTACTTGCCTATTCGATATAGATGCTGTTAAACAAACAAGTGGACCGCGTATACGTCGAGATCTTTTTTATTATTTGTATATCGAGTGTGATAAAATGCTCTAGCGTACCATGTACGTTCAACACCATGTGTATGTGTTGGATTCAAGACGACGAAGATTTCACGAAGATGGACATCAACTGCATTGGAATACCGTTTGCCAGATTTCCAGGTAGATGGACTGGAACTTTGATTGTAAAATGGATTATCAACAAAAATTTTTGTAACAAAAGTTACATTGTACAGAAATGATTATGATTGTCATTTAATGATAATTTTTTTTTCTTTAAATAAAGATGTTTCTCAGATTTATCTTCATCTTCTAAAGTAAAACTCTTTACTCTGCTTTATTTTCTAATACTGACTCTTAAAATGAATATTTTACATTATCAACGCCATTCTTTACTACAGTTTTATAAATTAAAAATGTATTTAATAACAGATGTCTCTGTGAGTTATGTGGCTCAGTTGGATGTAGTTGGATCCGGAATACAAACATTGGATAACGATGCGCTTACGAGTATAGTTGGTGTTGAAGCTTTAGGATTAATGAGCAATCGGTTGTCTAACATCGGCGATAAATCTTTTTCGTAAGTCAAAACATCTTTTGAGACTTCTTGTAATCAGCTTTCAAATAAATCAATGAAATAAAAATTTGTAAATTTATCTTCAAAATATTTAGTACTTCATTTAAGAGAATATATGTTATTAGAGGTATTGCGGATAGTTTACGATCGCTAGATCTCAGCTACAATGCCTTGGAAGATGTACCGTTTAAAGTTTTTCGTGACCTGAAGAAATTGAACTGGCTCAACATGCATAGGTAAATGTATAGAAAATTTGATAAACGTTTTAATTAATTCGATACAAAAAAAAAATCTATTAATCTGTCGATTCATGAATAATGTTATATTTATTGTTTAATAGAAACTAAATTTATTAGTGTGGTATCATCTCAGAGAAATTAATTTTTATCACACTACAGTTTTTATAAAAATTAAAAACGATAAGTTAAAACTTAAGCAATTACAAATTTAATGTTAGAAAATTGAGAAATAGAGTGACGAATCTGTGAAATTTAATATACGAAAATTAATTAATAAAATCAATTTTATTTTTAGTAATCATTTGACATCGCTGGATGGTGACTGGGGATACGTGAAGGATGAACTAACGAACGCCTTTTTCGGAGATAATTCAATCATCGAGATACCAAAAATATTCAGCACGTTCGAAAACCTAGCTTGGTTGAATCTTGACAATAACAATATCGAGGAACTTTCAGAAGATTGTCTGCCACCTAACATACACACACTAAGCTTGAACAGCAATCTTTTAAAATCTTTTCCATCCTCTCTAAAATCTTTGAAACATCTTACATGGTTGTATCTAAGAGGCAACGATTTCAAAAGCCTCGAGTTGCCCGATTTCCAAAGTTCGAATTTGGAATTGATCGATGTCAGTGAAAATTGCATCGAATGGATTACCACGTTAGGCTTGACCAATCGAACTTTGAAAATTAAAGACTTCAATTTGGACAGCAACAAGTTGACATCATTGACTGCCGAAATTTTCGGTCGTCTCGAGACTAAAAGGATTCATTTGTCCTCGAATTCGATTAAGAACGTCCACGATAATGCTTTCCGAGGGCTTGAGGATATGTTGGAGTATCTGAATCTGGAAAACAATGATCTTTCCAATGTTCCAGCCGCTGTTAGCCGATTGAGAAAGTTGTCGTACTTGTATCTTGCCAACAACGATATAAGAAACATATCTGGGGATGCATTTAACGAATTTGCGGATAATTTACGGGCGCTTTCATTGGCTACGAACAGTTTGGATGCGGTTCCAGTTGCGGCTTTGTCCAGGTAATTTCAGATTAAATTTTAAGATACAATTAAATAATTTTTAATTGGTTGAATATTTGACGTTTCGAGTTCATTGATTTTGTTTTGCGAGAGAAATTGATATAATTTTCATTCTAGTATCGCGAATCATTTTTGTTTTTATTTCATTATATACATATACATTTATACATGATAATTTCATTGAATAGGTGTCAGAGACTACTCCATCTTAATCTTGGCTATAACAAAATCTCCCATATTCAGCCGGGTGATTTCGAATGGGCAGAAGACCTTGAAATTCTCCTGCTTAGGAACAACGTCTTGACGAAATTGAAAGACGAAACCTTCAAAGGAGCAAGTAAGTTTCAGATTAGTTAATGAAATTGTTCTTTTAACTAGGCAATCTTTTATCAATATTCTGTTCTAGAAGATTGCTTTCATTAAATATAATTTTATTTTATAAAATTATGATTTATCTCGTGTCTTTTAAATTTTTTTCCATCCGCCATATGTATGTCATCAATCAGAATACGATTTTAAATAATTCAATAGAATTCGTTTCCTGGATAATCCAATTCTGATCGATGACTTTATCTTTTCAATTATATTTGATAATATTTCTCACTTGTAGCAGTTTCTTTTATTGAGATCCATGCTTTCAGGGAAGCTGAAAGAGCTCAGTTTGTCTTTCAATCACTTGACGGAGCTCGACGACGATTGCTTCATCGGTATCGAGGAGAGCCTCGACATTCTCGAATTGAGTTTCGCTTTTGCGACCGACGTGTTCCCTCAACGGGCACTCAGACCTCTTTCCAATCTGCTCTGGCTCGTTTTGGACAACAATAATTTTCAAACAATCGAGGCGACCGCGTTCTACTCCTTCCAACGATTGCGCTACATCAATCTGGAATCGAATCGGCTTCACTACTTACCCGAACGAATATTCCTGTCTAGCGTCCACCCGGAACTTCGGGATGTGAAACTCGGCTACAACTTTCTCGAAGCGATTCCAGACTTCAGTTTTCACAATTTGACTGAACTGAGATCGTTGGACCTGACTGGCAATAGAATAACGTTTCTTAATTCCGATTCTATCATGGATTGCCCGGAATTGGTGACGCTATCGTTGGCTTACAACCGAATCACTAAAATGGAGAAGAACGCATTTTACGGTTTACCTAGTTTGCGCTTCCTGCATCTGGAATTTAACAAGCTAACGATGCTGGATTTAGACGCGATTGCGGAGATCGGTGGCCCGGATTTCGCTCTCAACGTTTCGTACAACGCGATCTCCATTATAAATTCCGGAAGCTCGTCGAATAATTTGACTAGGCTGGATTTGAGCTTCAACAATATCAGTCATTTGCCGGCTGATACGTTCTATGGAACACCGGAATTGAAGAGTTTGGATTTGCAGAGTAATTTCATCACTGTTCTCGAGTCAGGTAAGGTAACATATTATGTCGTTATTTTATTTAGTCGATGTGGAGAACGCAGAATTTTCTGAGTAAAAATAAAAATTTCTTCCGTACGTAATTTAATTTTGCACGAAATTTTTATAACACTTTAATATTGTATTTTTGTATTATTTTATAATAATAATAACAATATTTGTATACACACATTTATTATATTTATTGTAATCTCATTTAATAAATTCTCGAACTCTTTTACAATGGTCTATTACTAAAATATTATTATTATTATATTTTAGCTTATTATCTCAATTTCATAATTATCTTTTAACAATCATCATCTGATAAAAAGTCACCGTGTAAATTTTTCCAGGCACGTTCACGCTGAGACGTTTAGAAACGCTGAATCTGCGTAACAATAAGATCGAAGGTTTACGAAAACAGTCTTTCCACGGTCTAGAACTTTTGCAACAATTAGATCTAAGTGGAAATCAGATCACTCAATTGTCTACCGAGCAATTCCGCAACCTGAAGAATCTGCGAATCTTGAATCTGTCTGGGAATAAGATAAGATCCTTACCCAGAGACGTTTTCGAAGGAACGAAGTTAGAGATTCTCGATCTGAGCAAGAATAAATTCACCGTGGTACCATCACCATCTTTCATCGAGGTTGGCTACACTTTGCGGGATCTTAATCTAGCGGACAATTTCGTGGATCATCTGGACTCGACTGCTTTTCCAACTTCGCAGCTGGTCTCGTTAAATTTGGCGCACAACAGGCTGACCATTCTACCAGATAACTCGTTTGTCTCACTGGGAAAGCTTTTAAGCTTGAACGTGTCTCAGAATGTTCTTCAGGCGAATTTCAAAGAGTTGTTTCACTATTTGCCTGGACTGAGACAGTTGTTTTTAGCCAGCTGCGGTCTCAGAGATATACCTCTCCTTCCTCTGACCAATTTAAACGTTCTAGATCTGTCTTTCAATCATATTGACTCGACGTCTGATAAGCAATTCCAGTATTTGAAAGGTCTGAAGATCCTGTGGTTGATGAACGACTCGTTGACGTCTATGCCTAATATGAAATTAAATCTACTGAGGGAACTTGACGTGTCTGGTAATCCAATTGTGGTGAGTGTATTAGTTAATTGAATTTCCAAAGATTTCCAAATATTGCCGTCAAAAGAGGCTTGCTAATGAAAATTAAAAATCCAGGAGCTGACGAAGGAGAGTTTCCTTGGCTACCCAAGGCTAGAGGAATTAAACCTAAGAAACCTAAACAAGACCAGATCTGTGGACAAAGATTCTCTTCGCGTTTTGAAATACCTGAAACATCTTCGAATTCAAACGTGGCCTGAGGCAGACGGTTTCCACCTTCGACATCTGTTAACTGGCTTGCCATTGAAAACTGTAGAGATTCAAGTAACAGAACATTTGTTGAAAGATCAGATACAAAACGCTTTCACAAAACAGTTGAGGGAATTGACTATTTCCGGAAGTGATCTTGAGGCGATCTCGTCGGAGGCGTTCTCCACTATCGAAGGCGGTGAATTGGTATTAAGAATCAGGGACACTCGAGTTCGAAGACTGCAGTCGGACATATTTCTCTCTTTGACGAAGAGACTGTCTCAATTGACTTTGGACTTGAGGAACAATCATATCAACGAGCTCAGTCCTTCGGTTATTTACGGGAATCTCTCGTGGGAGAGCGTTGGGACTAACATGGTTGCTGGTGAATGAGATTTAAATTATTTAATATTTACGAGTATTATTGTCGTTGTGATAAATTTGATATTGTGTAAAGAAAGTGGTGGAATGAAATTTTAAAAAAAGACTCGAAAATACGGTGACTCTTATTAATAATCCATGAGTTATTGCTCTGTATAATAGTGTTAATCGACTAATTGTTTCTTAATACATTAAAATGTTTATTATGATTAGTAGAAACATAAATATCACTTACTTGGTTCTCTGCGTGAGAAACCAAAAAAAATTATTTATATTATTTACATTTTTATAATTACTTATATTATTACTATCATTTATATTAATTCCATATATTTGATATTGACAACAGCCCGCAGTTTATTAATAAGAGTCACTGTTTAAAAAATATGTGTCTCGTTGAAATGAACACATGATACAAATATAATGAAAGAAATATGATTAGAATCTCCTTACTCAAACTCACGTAGTTATTTTCTCGCTGTTCTTCAGGAGGTCTGCAAGTATCAGGAAATCCTCTCGAGTGCGACTGCGAGATCGCTTGGCTCAGTTTATGGTTGCGAAGGTGGCTTCGAGAATCTCGTCAGATCCACACCGCTTCTCAGTCAGACGCGCGACAATTAAGAACGATTGCTGGAAGAGCTGTTTGTACCGAGACCACACCATCTTACTCGTCTGATAAAGTTTTACTAACTCTAGGAACCCCTCATACTGCCTGCCAAGCCTCTGCTCTTAGCTCTGGCAACTACGAGAGGCTGGCTACCACTTGGCTGGCTATAGTCGACATCATTCTCCTTACGATAGTCGCGCCTACTGACTCGTTTATTTTGTACTGAAACGAAGACGTTAGTATTGTTCTAGCATTTTTTTTTTTTTTTTCAAGTACCTTTTACCTTTTATTTGAACATATAGATACTTGAAGTTGGGAATTGACTTTACTAATTGAATTTGGGAATTCCTTTCGTAGGATTTAAGAGGTTTTCGAGTGATTTAAAGCTGTTGCTTTCGACGATAAACAAAGGAGAACGTTGAATTTATATTTACGAAGGTATGTAAATATGTTACTTGTAAATCATTTGACTTGATTCAATAGCTGAGATAATTACTACTCGGATAGTAATAATAAAGTATGCGCACAAATGATGTTACCTTTACTAGTGGTAAGTTTAATACTAGCCGTTTGTTTAACGTGTTATTATTTACATTTGGGAAATAAAGAATTTTTATAGCAAGACTTTACAGATGGACGAATTGAAATTCCTCAAACACGAAATCATCACTGATTCTTTTTACTTGTTTTACTCGTTTTACTTTTGATGATTAATACATACTTTGATTTAAGGTAAATTTATTGTTCTGTTGTTCACGCGAAATTTGAAGAAAGCAGGGATGAGCTTAAAACCATGAGATAAAAACCGACACGAACAACAAATTATGATCTTTTATGTAAAGTTACAAAATAAAACGAAGAACTACTAGTTAATGGTACGTACAATTTACTTTCGTCTGCTGTTATTCTTACAAGCGAAATATTCTTTTCTCGGAGAAAATTTCGTTTCTTTTTATTTACAAAACGTATCTGTCACAGTAGCGTGTGTATTTATACAAATGTAAGAAATACGTAGACAGATGGAATCGATAGGGGATTAAGAGGAATTTAAGGAATTTAAGTAAAAGTTTCAGAGGGGAGAGGAGAGGAAAATTGGAATAAGGGGAAGAAATAAAAAGAGATTTCTGGATAACGGAATTTCTCGTTGATTAACCATCGTCGTATTTCTTCCTTTCGACGAATAACGAATCCTTTCTTTCTCTCTCTTTTTTTTTTTTTTAATTGTCGTCACGTAACTGTTTTAATTAAAAATATTCTTAAATAGTTAATATCTTTGTCTCTTTCGATTCTTTTCTTTTTTCTTTACACGGGCGGTGCCTGTGTGTGTTGTACACATCCGTCCACATTTTCAGGCCAATCGCAAACATTTTCGTTTGGATTGAATACCAGATTTACCGGGCAGGGCATGTGATGCTTTCTCTCGCCCTCGCACATATAGTACATAGTACAGTCGTTCTTATCAGGATGGTAAGATATATGGTTGTCTTCTTCATCACAGCTCACTTCGTTCGCTGTAATTATCACATTAACATATTATTTAGTTGGAATTGGTTAATAATTTTTAATTAATAGATTAACATATTGTTTTATCATTCAGTAGATTAATACATTATATTTGTTATATATTTAGTTAGAATAATTTTACATTAGATTGAAAGTTATTCCACAAAATAATTGTAAGATGTTCTCCTTCTTTTTTGTCGTATCCAAGAATACTTTTTCTCGCATATGTTAATGACTTTTTGATGTCTCTATATTACTTATATTAACTAAAATACTCACGATCTTTGATGGCGTATCTTCCATTTTTCCCACTCTCATAAGGACCGTCGTATTCCAATTTCACTTTATAATCCCTCAGCTCTTTCATCATCGCTTTGATCAGTGGATACTTGCCAGCCCCGCAACTTCCTCTGAAGTCATCCATGTCCACCGACCAGATCATTATACCTCCAAAGCCTTCTTCTTTGAGCCATTGCATCTAGGGCAATGCAATATTTAATATTGCATTATTATATTCATTAAATTAATACCATGCTCTAACACTCCATATTATTTTGTACGCATCAACTGATTAACAGTTGCATTCTTTGAATAATTCGAGAATATATATACAAATACACAATTTAAAAAAAAAAATTTATGAAATTTATGAAAATAGATTTATTTTTTATAATATTAAATTCCCTATAAACCTATGAAAGTTCATAATTTAATTCGTTTAATTGACTATTCAATTCGTTTTTTAAGATACCAAATGCTATTACCTTATTTATAAGACTTCTTTCATCGTCGAATCCAACCCATTGATCGTCTCTGTACGCAAAGGGAACTTGCTGCTCATTGTCCCACACTAACGTAGTGTTGTCTTCATTCAGGAAGCCGCAGATCTATACAGTCGTACATTGTTAGTACGATGCGTTGAATAGTATAATAGTTAATATCTACCTCGTAGTACGAGAGGAATCCCGATTCGTTGGTGAAATTTCCGGCTATTCCACCTCCAGAAGCTGGAGCTCCGATGTCAAATTTATCTTTGTCCACTAACGTGAACGACCTGCCATAAGTTGGCATACCGATCATTAACTTCTCCTTTGGTGCACCTTGTTTCACCCATTCTCTCGCACTGTAATCCTATGTAATTTATTCACACATGTAATTTTAAGTACGATTTGACACGTTCGTATTTGGTATTTTAATTAATCTATTAATTATTGCATTAATAATACGTATTTGGAAAATGTATAGGAGAAAGTAACATTTATTAACATTCTCAATACCTACCACTGTCAATTTCTTCTGATAACTGGTAGCACTTTCCAGAGGAAACAGAGGACTGTTGTGGCCGACTTGTCTCTCCCACTGACCGTGGAAATCGTACGTCATCACGTTAATGAAGTCCAGGTATTTAGATATCTCTGGCACGTCGTACCTAAAAATTGATCGATAACAAAAGAGTCAAAGAGGAAAGAAAGATACAAACTCGAATTTTCTACAGTAAAGAGTGAAATTATACACGTCAGGGAAACACTGAAGTAGTAAGAGCTTACCCTGCAGCGATAGCCTCGAAACTCGCTGGCACCGCGGCTGACAAAATTAATTTCGGTTGTCCAGAACTATTTGCCTCACCCTCGAATGCCAGTCGAAGTTCCTTCAAAAGGTTCACGTAGGCTGCTCGATCGTCACCACCTCTAATATGTTCAATTTTTATTAGAATTTCTTATATTTAACATATTTAGTTAATATTTAGTTAATTTGTAACATATTTAGTTAATATTTAGTTTTAGAAAATGAAAAAAATGACATAAAATTAAGTAAAATCGTCAAACGTGAAAAAAAACGAGAAAACAAAAACGACTTTTCGAAATTTACCGTGGATATTCCCAATCGACATCCAGACCGTCGAATTTGTACTCTCGTAGGAATTCGATGGCTTCGTAAACGAATTGATTCATGCGGAATGTATTGCTAGTCAGTTCCTTGAACGGTGTTGATCCGAACGCCCAACCACCGATCGCCAGTAATATCTGAAAAATCATTATTCCCGAGTTGATCGCACTGTTATTGAATATCATTCTCGAAATAATAATCACCAAATTTTTGAGCGTACATCGTTAAGAGAAATTTTTTTTAAATATCGTATGCATTCCAATCTACACGTATGTATGTATAATCTCTGACCTTAATGTCGGGATTCTTATTACGCAGAGCGATCAATCGTTCGTACATCTCCGTGTCCTTCTCGCTTTCCTCCGCGAGTAGGAAATTCTTCAGAGTCGCGAACGCGTAGACGATGTGCGTGCAAAGCGTTGGATCGATGTCCTCTGGCACGAATTTCCCAGATCCGGGTCTTCTGTGCGACCAATTCGTTAGGTAGCACATCGATTGAGCTGCCCTTTCTGCGAGCGACAAATAAATCATAGTCATCACAGTTAAAACAAATTGAAAAGATGGAGCGTACCATTGGTAGGAGGATTAATGACGAGTTGCGTTGTCGGTTTTTGAAGTTTCTTCGCCTTGTTGATCACGTCCGAGACCAATATCTTGTAAGGTTCGGGTCTCTTCAGAATGCTCTCGGACACGGTGCTAGCCACGGCGGTCCAGTCGACGTCCTTGGCGCTTGAACCTCTCGATATTCCGAACAATTCCTCCCTCATCGCCCCGACCAAGGGGTACTTGACATTTCCACCGCAAACCGTGCCGTTGAAATCATCCATATCGATTGTCCACACCATGGCCCCGCCGTAACCTTTGCTCTTCAGCCAGTCCATTTTAATCCGGATGGACTTCTCGTCGTCGAAGCCCACCCACTGGTCGTTCTGAACCATGTACGGCACCTTCATCTCGTCGTCCCAGATGTAAATCGCACCGTTTCGCAACATCTCGCAGATCTGTAGGAAATGGGAGGAAAAGACACTCGAGTTTTTAGTGTCTAGTGAAAAATTGAATCTATCGATTCAAGAAATTGAATCTATCGATTTGTAAGAAATTTGGAAGACTCCTTGACTTATCTATCAAAAATTGAATCCTCTATATAGACAGGGGGAAAAATACTTAATTTTTGAATAATTTAACTTTCAAATTTCAGCCGTGAATAACGATTGAAATTATACGTCCCTCTCTAAAACCACCGTCCCTTGGAATCGTACAACCTATCAATCACCGAGCCCACTTATCGTGGCAGTTAAATTGCTAATAAATAACAGTCCTTTAACCACTTTCAAACCGATACTAATCGTTTCCCAACCGCGAGAAACGCGGAAAGAACATTCAATCTGTTTAACGACCTGCTGAAACGAAAAAGAAAAAGAAGCAAAGAAAGAAAATTCAATTTACAAGCAAAACGGCACGTTTGGTGAAACAAGGCTCGCGGATTGGAGGCGAGAGATCGCGAGTACGTACCTCGTAATAGGCAAGAAAGCCGGATTCCTTGGTGTATTCGCCGGCCTTTCCACCGCCGCTGGCAGGTGCGTGAACACGGAAATTGGAGAGGTTCGTGAGAGTGAACGATCGTCCGTAGGTCGGCATACCGATGATCAGTTTCTCCTTAGGGGCGCCCAAACGAACCCACATGGACGCTGCGTTGTCCACGCTCAACTGTTTCTGCCATTCGGAGTCCAACGAAGAGGGGTACAAAGGTGCGTTGTGGCCCGTCTCTCGCTCCCATTTCCCGTGGAAGTCGTACGCCATCAAATTGATGAAGTCCAGATAACTGAAAAGATGTGGTAACTCTTGTTAATTTGTCGATAATAGAGAGAGAAGGGCAGTTTTTGAATAAATTTGCAAAAAATATACAATCGTACGTGGTTAATTTACCTAGCAACTGCTGGCACATCGTATCCACTCTTAACGTTGTCAGGACCAACCGGCACAGCAGCTGTTAAAAGAAGCCTTGGTATCTTCTTCTCCTGAGCTTCAGCTTCGAACGCTTCTCGAAGCTCTACGAATGTAAATTAATTACTGACACGATCAAATAATTCGCAATGTAATTATTTGCTAGCATTGGGTCGTTTCTTGTCATTCATTCGAACATTGAAACTTGAAACGAACGTGTTGCACAATTCTTCAAGTGAAAATATGAAATACACCAGTGCATAAAATTGCATTGCTCGTTTCTCTATTGTTGTGTTTTTACCTTTCAACAGAAGCACGTAGTTCTTCTTGTCGTCTCCTCCTTTTGGATACTCCCAGTCGATATCGAGGCCATCGAAATTTCGATTTCGCAGGTACGAAATGGCACTGTAGATGTAAGTCTGCCTCGCGTACCTCGTCGTCGACACGTCTTTGAACTTTTGAGTGCCGAACGACCAACCACCTGATCGAAAACGATCGCACGCAATCTTAGTCTCTTCACCCGTGACAAATTGTATAAGAAGGAAGTTCTAGGTATTCATCTCGAATTAAGAATTCCATCATTTTCGATCGTTTTTCAGCGTATCTCTCACGGTAATTATACTCACCGATCGCAAGTAAAATCTTCAAAGAGGGATTAGCTTTCTTCAGGTTGACCACTCGTTCGTACAGTCCGATTTTCCCATCTTTCGTTTCGTCGTTCGACTCGAAGCTGGTCAGCTTGTTCTTCTTCAGCCAACCGAACGCGAATATGATGTGCGTGCACAAGTCCGGCTGTATGTCCTCCGGTAGGAATTTCCCAATTTTCGTCCGGTATTGAGACCAGTTAGTATAGTAACATACAAGCTGCACAAATCGAAATTGTATAACGATCGTTTTAGAAGGCCAAGTATTTATCGACGGAAGAGTGACGTGTTTTTCGTACGCACGAAACTGCATGAATCAGGATTCTTAGCATAGAATTCTTTTGTACCATTGGTATATGTGACAATTGATTAGCATACCTACCTTGTAGTCCTCCGATTTACCAGTCTGAATTTCATTCTTCTTGTTCTTGTTAGAGATACGATTTCGCGTAACCTTGAATCTGTTCACGCTGGCCGAGACTTCCTGATCGCTCGAGATCGATGGGGCGGAGGTTGCTGGTCTGCGAAATCTCTTCCTTGTACCTGTGTGTTTCACGCATTCTCTCTATATACTGACGCAATTGACCTCTGTTTCTTTTAGTGAAAACAGCAAGCAAACAAGACATTTACTCTGCAGTTATTCGTTTCGAATTTCACTTCAAAGTTTTTCTTAAATTTTTAACAACAGATCGATATGTCAGACAAGTGGCTAATCTTGGAAAAAAGATTACACTCTTTCGTGATATTAATGCCAGTTTGCATAACTCTGATCACTCTGAGAATATACGGGCCATTTTTATGTAATCGCTCGACGTTTGTAACGAAGAAACGAAAATGGAGTTTGACGCCTTTCGCTCGTTACAGTCTTCTGCTTCCGTAACTTTATCTTTCGAAGAAGAATGATTGTAAAAAAGAATTTCAACCCGAATGATGAAGTAATACAAAACTGATGCGCTTTGTCGCGTTAAAGATCGATTAATCGCATGAAAAAGTTATTAGCAAAACGAATATTGAATAACCAAATTTTCCACAGCGAGACCAATTTCTCGAAAAATTTCATTACTGCGTTTTTTAATTAAAAATTAAAGATCTCAAGTCTGAACGAAATACGAAAAAAGATTCTCATCCGACCAAGTTTTAGACTTTGAATGCCGTCTTAAAACACTACGCGTAAATGATTTTCTTCGTTTCGCTAAACTGAGCGAGAGATCGAAATGTAAATATTGAGATGTACTAAAGATCCGAGGACTGTAGGGGGAGCTGAGAAAGGCAAACAGAGAAAAAGATCCGTATCGTTGGAAAGCTAGCGAACGATTACCTTCTGCATTATCGAGAGTCCCGAGAATTACGATCAAGCAGACGAACAGCAGCCAACAGGTCGTTCTGCTAGTCGACACCTGGAAAGAAAGTGAAACGTGTTACCGATCGGTGGAACCTGTCGTTGCTATTACGTTTTTAAAGGTTTGACCGGGAAGCGAACGCGAGACGTATCGAAATATTTTTTTCACCGATCTTGATCCACAGGTCCATTCAGTTCGCTTCTTCGCGTTCGTTCAGGTCGATAAACTAACAAAAATGCGGCCACCGTTGAGGAAATCGTTCATATTCATAAGTGTAACCGACCACCGATCACCTGACCTAGTTTCTGCGTTTTGTACTTTTTTTTTCTCCTTTTTTTTTTCTTTTTTTTATGAAAAGAGAAATATACTAGACAAAGAGAAGTTTAGATCGCGGCTGTTCAACGTAAGTTGAAGCGAGTTATTCGCATTATTATTCAGCAATGTGGAGGACTTCCAACGAGTGGAAAATTATTCAGTGTTTAATGACGTGGAGGTCTCAATGCGTAGAATATTATTCAGTGATATATTTAGTGAGGTAGATACTTTCAGTCGTTAAAATCCTGGATCGTAAACTACTATTATTGCTACGCTGTGGATTAGGTAGGATTTTAAAGAGAAGAATTGGAACTTTGTTGAGAAACTTCGAATTAGCTTGATTAATAGGAAAAAGTCCGAGGAATTAGAATTGTATTCTTTAATTTTGCTTTCCTGCGTTCAACACGTAACACGCACGGTTGTTTCAAAGTCTTGTGCAATTTCTATCGGACAACAGCACTGCACATTAGATAATTCACTTATCTAATGATTTAGTATTTAGGATAAACGAAACAGCAAGTCAATACTGTGTATTTGAGAAATTTTTCTTACAGAATTGTTTATTACTTTTGAAGGAAGAAATTCTCGCGCGTGCGATGAAACATTAGTCACGACGAAAACCGGAGAAAGTCATTTGCGGTTTCTACGATCAATTACCAAGATCTTCGAGCATATTGAATTGAAAACTCAGAGTCGTAAACTTCCCTGTCCGAACGAAACGATTATGATAGCCTGCGTGAGAACTTAGAAGTTATTTTTTACCTGCTACGAGAAATGAATACTTCACGAAAAGTTGGTCATTAAATCATCCGAACGAACTCTAAAACTTTGTTATTGCTGTTTATTAAAAAGTCATTACATCTGATTTTTCCCCATCGCTTAAAAATCATCTTCTCCTTTTTAGAACATTAAAAAAAAGAAAAAAAATGATATTGCGACGCAAAATATCTCGCGTTCTAAAATATCTCCGTGAAACCGTTTCCAACTGTAACACCGGCTGTCTTGAATAGAGTTCTGGTCTCACAGAACTGTTCCAGAATTGTTTCGAGATAAGGGAAAATACTGGCAACTGATTAAAAATCCGATTGCATTCTCCGACGAGGGGAACGTTCATTCACAATATTTTCATTCTATTGTCACATACGTGGCAATTGCCCAGGCTTCGTTACGTTCGCAATTTATTCCGCGTTATACATTTTTATGTTCGTTACTCATGTTGCTTGGCTAATTAACACGATGCGCGTAGATTAAAGAACAAAACTAACGACGGATGCTTTCAAAACCGCTGTTTGTACGCGTTGTATTTGCATACAAGTGTTTTTCTTTTCCTCTTGGTTTCTCTTCATTCCCCCATGAAATCGTCGAGCTAGTTTTCTTTTCCGCGCTTGGGGATTAGAAAATCTTCCGTTTATGGAAGAATAAAACGAATAAATAGTTTTAATACAGTGGTGCTGGTAAACTGACGTGTATTTTCGATGATAAATGACGCATTTTGATATGTTTCTTTGATAACGTATGCCTGTAACGTATGTATTTTATAATGTACATTATGTAATTTAATGTATATATTAACTGTCGAATATTTACTGTATTATATTTAATAATATTTAATACAATTGTTGAATATAACAAATTAATGAATATTAATTGATGATCAATGATATTAATTCATGAATATTTTGAATCATTATGAAGTACTTCATAAAAAATATCAACAGATTTATAGAATAACATCAAGTCTCTCCTATACATACTTGGTCGTACGTATATTCTATTCTACTAAAGTAATCAGACTACGACGCAAAGTTTTGTTTTTTTTTAAATAGAACACAATAATTAAACACTTCTTATCAATGACTCATCTTCATATAAAAGCTCCTCGTATTGCTAGAAAATTCTTTCCACAAAATATCCTCTCATTGTATTCATAAAATTCTCGGATGATCATCCATAATCGTTACTGCTTAACGCTTCTTCGTTTTTTTATTATTTTTTACACGATATCAACGCGTGTGCAGTTAAACACTGAGACACAGCAGCTTCTGATTAGCGAAACGAAAGAAGAAAAAGGAGCCGGTCCCTCCAGTTTGTCGCAGTTGGCTGCACTGCCAGAGGAGGAGCCGACCATCCGTGAAAATTTCACCGGCGATCGCGGCGTTACAGATTTTCGAAAGCCAAGGAGAAGCAACGCGGCGTATCAGCTAGCTGTCGCGAGGTAACGACTCGATCGCCGATTCCCCACGATCAGAGAAATCGATTCTCAAGATTGCCTATTAAGGGGAGAACGTAATTATTCCGTCGATTATACAGTCGTGCTTCGATATCGGGCACGATATCGGCGTCGTTCTCCCTTTTCCTTTTGTCGTCCTCACCGCCGCTCTCTGCGGCTTTCTTCTCTTCTCTCTTCTCTCCCCTCTCTCCCTCTCGCCGCTCTGCCAGCGTTACATAAATCTCGTTGTTTTACGAAAATTTCGTAATTTTATCGTGCAACGTATCGAAGCATATACTCGGAGCACAGAGTTGAAGATTATCACTCGTAGCCGTTGTGGTCTCTATTGTTTTTTTTTTTTTTTTTTTTTTTAAGGGAGTTTCTGCGAGAGTGTCTGCACAGTATTGCATAGTCTACTTAGGGCTTAGTTATTTTTCGACGGAGATGATTGTTATTTGTTTATTTATTCATCACACACACACAGACACACACACACACACATATAAATATATACGTATATACATATGTACATATATGCGAACATACGTGTTTTATTATATTTTATAACATTGTTGCACCTATGATACATTGCCATATTTGTGAACATTGCCATATTTATTATCTATGAACGTGCAAATTTTAATTTGCGTATTGTAACAAGTATTCGTTGTTATTTTTTTATTATACATTGTTCATTTATTTTATTTTATACTATTTATTATTTATATTTATTTCACATTATTTATCATCATATTTTTCCCTATAATATATGTACTATTCCATAAGAAACATGAATAACTGTATTTTAATTAGTTTGCATTGTATTTTATTTCCTATGTAATGATATTTTCTTGAATAAATACGCAAGCCCAATTTTGTTATTCTTTATTTCACAGATTCGAGATAAAATCTTATCCTTTTTTCGACAAAGTTCCTCCCCTCGATGAATCGTGACATTTATTTCCTTCAATCTATCGGTATCTATTGTCTAATTAAACACTCGCGACATTTACTACTCGATACTTATCCACAGACAAAATTCGCATGAACACGATTTACACCCTGTATATAATAATAAAGGCGCGATTCAAAGTGAAATCAGAGCGTGCCTGTTTAATAATTGTTGCCGATAAAAATTTAAAGGCGGGTCGATTAAATTTTCGTTGGTAATCGAGTTTCCAACAGGCGATAATAGTCGACGATAATGCGTGTATATGTGTGTCAGTCATATTTCTCCGCTGGATCGTGACCGAGCACGAGTGAAACGACACGGAAATGAAGCGAGCAACGCAACACAGTGAATGTAATACTCCAGGTGGGAAAGAAAGGGACGACACGCGTAAAAAGCGATTTTTCTCTCTTCCGATCAATCGGTTTGTCGATGCGTGAAAAATCATAGCTTGCCGCGTAACCGCGTTCGCGAAGCCTCGTTCGTCTGTTGCGTCTCATTCTACTTATCAGACTAGAATAATCTCGCTCGACAATTTTTTTTAATTATCCCGTACCAGAGTATGAAAATTTACTCCCGATACGAATAGATTTATTATATTATATTATTTTTTATTTTATTTAGATTTATTATATTATATTATATTTTATTTTATTTAGATTTATTATATTATATTATATTATATTATATTTTATTTTATTTTATTTAGATTTATTATATTATATTATATTTTATTTTATTTAGATTTATTATATTATATTATTTTTTATTTTATTTTACTTTAGATTTATTATTATTATTATTTTTTATTTTATTTTATTTAGATTTATTATATTATATCCGATTTAAGTGGGTCGTAAGGCTCCGCCATAACTTGGAAGTTTCGAACCGACCAAAATCAATGGTCTAAGAAGAGGAAAGAAAGGTTTTTCTCGCGATGTCGGAACAAAAAGTAGCATAAAGTACTGTAAGAGACCGCGTTTAGCTTTCTTCATCGCGGTGTTCCCCATTCTCTGAAGCGTTTACCCTTTTCACCTCGTTTCTTGCTCCCGTTTCGTTTCATTTCGTTTCGTGGAAACTCCGCGAACGATTATCCACGAAACCGTGACGAGAAGCACAACTATGTTGCGCCGGTCTGGTAGTTGTAAATCATGTATTAAATTTAAATCGGTCACGAATGTGAACTTTCGTTTCTCTTTCTCCCTTTGCTTTTCAATTCACTTCACTGTAAATTTTTATTAATCTAAATTTTTAATTTGTTTCATCAAGATGAAAATTTTTGACCTTAATGCTGGGAATGATCAATTCATAATTTTCCACGGAAGAACGGTGTATTTTTAGAAACTTGAATAACTAATATAATATATTAATTAATATAATATATTAAATATAATATTATTAATTAATGTAATATATTAAAAGCTGTAGAAAGTGTTCTTTATTGTGTTATAAATCGTTCACTGTTCCTTGCGCTTTGATTTCTTTCCTACAGATTTTATACTTTAGTCACCGATAATAGTAGAGTGATAAATTACTTTGCCAGAGATCTATGCAAACAGATTTTTACGATTGAAAGAAAAAAAT